AACTTCAAAATTGAAAGAAATTGCTTAGACTTAGACTTTAACGAATGACAAAAAACATTTTGCGGTATTGACCCAGCCGGGAAACAAACCCTTTACCTATAATGAGAGTATTGTATGTTGTAGTAATGTTTTCTTAGAGAAACTAACCTTAAGTTTAATGACGTATAGATAATTGATTAAAATGTTAATTACGGACTATGGGACTATCAAAACTGTGTACAGCCAGGGGAACAATGGAATTACCTTTTGATTAATTTCTTTGGGTTGTATTCAGTTTTTTCGTGGTATCTACTTTCACTGTATGATTTTATGATAATTAATACATACTTTGTAAGGCATTGTGCTGATGTGGGAGTTAGTAAGCGTGTATCATCTTATCAATTGCAGAGAAGTATTTTTAGTGCCTTATTATGATATAATGTTAAACCTAAGAATGAATTAGCAATTAGCGGTCCATTTGCGTGAAATTAACGTGCCTAATGCCTAATCTAATCGCCGTTAAGTGATCACTTTGATAAATAAAAAATATAGAAAATCGTTAACATAGGCATCACCTAATATGAAAATTAAAAGCTTTTTATTATGACACGAGAATACAAAAGTAGGCAATTTAAAATCAACTTATTAATATTAATAAATACCATAATACTTGTTTTATACAACACGAGCTGGTTTTACGGCCTTACATAATTTAAATGGCTGCCTTTAGTTTGATTAATTATAAATTAATGTGGGTAAATATTTCGTTTGCCGTAGAGCTCTACTTAATTATGGCATTTGAAATCTTACTGTCATAACAATCAGCCACTCCTGCACCCGCCAGACGTCTGCCACTATTATTGCGGTTCACAAACTCCTCGTTTCACAAATAGTTGAGAACAATAGCAGATATAAGTTTACAATACTTTACAACACCATACTACAAATAAAATACAGTCAGTGTTTCTCAAACAGTTCAAACAATGGGATCAAATTAAATAACAGGTCATTTGCGGTAGGAGAATTGAATATACCGTGAACACAAGCCAAACATCGGTGTTATTAAAACTAAAAGCCTTAAAGAATGTGAAATTCACATATTAATTGCTTCTCCCTCTCCAGGAGATAAGCATATGTGTTTACACAGCATTAAGCAAATCCCATCGACATAATAGAAGTATCATCAAAAATAATTGTACATCTTCCATCTGCAAAGTAATATTAATTAACTGTTTATTACAAATAAACAACGACCGCTGCGGCTCAGTAGCTTGAAAGGCGGTTCGCCATCAAGACATCGCCATCTCTGAAGTCCCATGATTCCCGATCAGGTCAATCTAGCTTGAAAATAAACTTTTATATATTAAATTAAGTGTTATGAATGATACCTTAGTTGTTTTTTTTTATTTCCATAATGTTCAATTACTTTAATGAAGTAATTAACTTATTATATGGATTATGTGGTGTTGTCTAAAATAACATAAATAAAGATAGGCATTATACTTATCGCTAATCAACAGTCTGAACAACCACAACCATGACGTGCTTACAATAGTATTGTGTACACGTCACGCAACACAATGTCACAGAGCAGTGAAAGTGTACAAGTGGTAAGTCCCATTATATTAAATAATAAACTGTCTAGTAATCCTTGTCTTCTCTAATGAGGTATTCATCATACGCCGACGTTTTAGATCTGGAGTCACGAATGAAGCGCACGATTGTGCTGCCTTTATTTTTATATTATTGTTTATCAAATTTGACGAGTGTCTGTTAGTTTTAAAAAAATATTTCGGTTATAATAGACAGCTTTTACTCAAAATTTCGAATTAAAACGATGTGGATTAACCTGGAAATTCTTGCTATGCAGGCGTAAGCTCGCAGATTTTCATGATGTGACAACGCATCGTGTATTATCAATTTAATATTTTGTCATCATAGTTTAGGTATAGCCTTTGTAGCTCAGTGGCTCGCATGCCAGTTACAAAGTGTAGCGAACTCTGAGCTCCCGATTCCGATTCCCATTTGTGTATAAGCTTATACGAGTACTTTAGCTACTTAATTTGGGTTTTAACAGTTTATGTAAATATACGCTGTCTATTTATGTAATTTCATATAGATTTGATTTGAATATTTTGTAAATTTATACTATACTTAACTCTTTGAAGTATGGAAAAATACATAAAATTTTCTAAAAAGATCAAGCTTATTCCAAATCAGGTCGATGTCATTTCAAGGAGCGTGCATCTCACTAGCACCCTAACCTTCATAGGACCTGACAGCGATACTGACTCTTACCACAAACCTATTACAACTGAAAACAACTTAACTGGTAACAATGTGAGGTTACCTGTGAATAAATTTGCATGTTGTCACTTGTTGTGCCACTGAGTGTGCACAGAGAGTGACGCAACGATGCACCCAACTATACACAAATAGAAATTCTGTGAATAAACAAAACAATAATGCGTTCCAAATATATCATATAATTAGGGAACAATAATCAAATGAACTTTATATAATTTATTGCAATTAATCTATTAATTCTTTCATAATTGTCGTATTAAAACATACATAAATTCAAACGAGTCGGAACTTTTAAGAGCCTCATTTTGTCATAATAAAATTCTTTGGTTGGTAACTATTTATGATAATTAACTATCTCAAATACCTTCAGACGGAACTCGAGCCTGACCTTTCGATAAACTTACAAAAATAAAAAAACCAGTTCATTGGTTCTATACCTAGTTGTGTGCGGAATGTAAAAAGTAAAATACGTTATGTTCATTGACTAATAATGACCGACCCATCCTATGACCAACGTTAAAAAGCGTATCGTATAAAGACGAAAAATTTGACTGTATGTTTATTTACATTTAATTGTCTCCAATACTGGCAATCCTATATTTTACCTATCCTACAACATCCCTAAAGAATATACGCGATACAATATTTTCAAAACGTTAGGGATACATCTGTAAATAAATATCCGACCAAAGTCGGGGCAGACCGCTAGTAAAATATATTTTAAGTTTCAACCAAAAGAAAAGATACAGTACGTACTTCCGCGATAACTGAAGCGATGTTACTTAAACAATATTAGTAATAAAAACAATTAACTGATTAAAATCTAAAAGCTTTCCATTCTCGCAGCGAAGTCTTTACAGCAAACGATTAATAGAAAAGCCTGCGATCACAGATAGGGCTCGTTTATTTAATGTCTATTGCATAAACAATGTGAAACTAACAACAGTATGCGACGACACTTAGTTATGAACAATTGAAACAATGCGGAGGCCGGCATTAGCGGCTTATCTGTCGACCAGTGAGGTGCTTGTTGCTAGATAACAATGGACCCACAGACAGAGCATTGACAAATTGAAATGAGTTGTTTGTTATATTATTTTAGATATTTAGAATACATTTTCATCTTAAACGAAACTCAGGATGGATGACAAGGCTGTAATTAACGCGGGTGATGTTGCGGGAAAACAGCATGTTAATTAATATTAAAATAAAGGATAAATTACTAATACCTATAATAGAATCCAAATTATTTTATTTTTAATGTTATTTATTATTCGAAAACTAACCCACCATCAAAATCTAAAACACAAAAGTATCTTGTTACTTGAATCGCTGATCGATCAAATCTGCTATAGTTTCTTACGCAACACGCTTGTGGTTCAGAGTCCTTACATCTAGATAAGCTCGAATACTCTTTGGAATGCTTCACTTCAAATCTTCGCAAGTAGAGTCGCCTCAATACTTTTTATTCAGATAGAGATCAAGTTTAAAGATCCGTGAAAGCAGCGGAATGTTTTTTACGAGCGCACGCGGCCCGGTTGCGTAAACCAGATGAACAAAGTATTAGTTGCGTTTATATTTGTAAAACGTGCACTGGCTACGGAATTGAAACTACTATTCAGTTTTTGAAGTTCGTTTATCCAACAAATAACTCAGGTTGCACAAAAGTTCGATCTAAGCCTATAGATCGAACTTTTGTGCGACCTCAGTTATTTGATCACTCATGATTTTAAGAATGAATGTTACATTGATTAGTCGAAATGATAAAAAATTGTCTAGGTTAGTGAAACCAGCACTTGTGAATCTTGCATTGAGGACAATAAACTTTGCACGTGCTTATTTCTGCCTGTTTTATCGAAAAGTGTTAATATGTTAGTTAAATGTAATTAAAATATCAAATATTGTAATTAAAAACTATTACGTGTACCTGTGTGAAACGATCAAAAACAGAATAGTTTTCGTTAATGAACAAACACAAATCCATGATTCCTCATTTTACATACTATGTACTTCACCATAGATATTCTAAGCATTCCACTGACACACAATTCTAACTACAGTTGAATAATGCACACAAAATATTTCAAGTTCACTGAAATAATTGGTATTGCGACAACAACCGCAGCTTTTAGTCGAGACAAAATCCTTGTTTTGTTTTGCAACATTTACGAAGCAACACCGGGAGTATAATTATACAACACTGCCTTACAATTGCGACCCATTGACTTGGAAATTAGGATTTAAAATTGCCTTTACTCGTAACTTAGTGTCTGATGTCAAAATAAACATCTGCACGCGAGGTCGCTGTGTGATCAGGTGCGAGGTCAATGTCAGATTTTAAAAAAATACGACTCTTGTGCGTTTACCCATCTTAATGTTTCGTTAAGAGCTGATTCTGCTCTCAACTTCCTAAGCTGATTTTAAAACTTGTATTGTAATAGAAAAAATCGCAAATATTTGTACTATAATGACTCACCTACTATAAGTAACATCCGTAAAATCCGTCATAAGTAAAATCCGAACGCGGATTCGAATTCACTCATGTCATGAACCCGACTTCGAATTCAGGACTGAATAGAAATAGCGCTAACTTTCTAATACAGGTATTATGCGTACCTTCGTATATACTGTTGTTGTGTTATATAAATATATATTTTATGATTTTTTAATTTATGAGACGTTTGAGTTTAATGTATGTATTTAATTTGTTTCAGGTGCTGAGTGCAGTAATGCTGGCCGCGGTGGTCGCGACCCCGCCACGCAAATATAACAAACGCGAAGGTAAACACACGTTCCATTACCACGTCAGTCAGCGACGTCATATCACACATAATTTTAATTTTATTTAGAGCGATTAATTTAAATTTAACTATATCTCTATCAATATGCATACATATGTTATCTTCATATGATTTACCTTAATGTCATAATAACTGATATAAGGCTTCAAATATTTTATATATAAATAAAAGCGGCAAACGCAGAAAGCTGTTATAAATAATATACTCAACAATTAGTAAACTTCCAATTTCTCTGCTTGCAGCACCGCTAAGTTCTTCTTATCTGCCACCCTCGAGCGGTGGTGGAGGCTACGGTGGTGGCCGCCCCTCATCGAGCTATGGACCACCCAGCCGCCCGTCTTCAAGCTACGGTGTACCATCGCGACCATCTGCCAGCTACGGTCCACCGAGTCGCCCCTCATCCAATTACGGACCTCCTCCTAAGCCCTCTTCGAGCTATGGCCCGCCTTCATCGAGCTATGGCCCTCCTTCATCGAGCTACGGCGCCCCAGCACCTCCTTCATCTAGCTACGGAGCTCCTGCCTCTCGTCCCTCGTCCAGCTACGGAGCACCTAAGCCTATAAGTAGCTACGGTGCCCCCGCCAGACCACCGGCGACTAGCTACGGCGTGCCGACCGGACCATCTACTACCTACGGTGCACCGAAACCGTCGAGCAACTACGGCGCCCCCAAACCATCCAGCTCCTACGGGGCACCCGCACCTTCTAGTTCATATGGTGCTCCATCTCCTTCTAGCTCTTATGGTGCCCCTGCTCCTGCACCGTCTAGTTCATACGGTGCTCCAGCCCCCTCGACCTCGTATGGTGCTCCTTCATCATCATATGGTGCGCCTGCCCCGTCGTCCTCCTACGGTGCCCCCTCTGGCGGCAGTGGATTCGGAAGTAGCGGATCTGGAGCATTCGGAAGTAGTGGTTCAGGTGGATTCGGCAGTAGCGGCTCCGGGGGATTTGGCAGCAGCGCTTCAGGAGGATTCGGCGGTAGCGCGCCCTCTTCCAGTTACGGCGCCCCATCTCTTCCATCCAGCTCTTATGGCGCACCAACCCCGTCCAATTCGTACGGTGCGCCCGCTCCCTCTAGCAGCTATGGAGCCCCGAGTGCTGGTGGTTTCTCTTCCGGTGGCTCCAGTGGCTTTTCCAGCGGCGGCGGCTCTAGCGGGTTCTCGTCTGGAGGATCAGGTGGTTACTCTGGATCAGGCGGCTATTCTAGCGGCGGATCTGGTGGTTATTCTAGCGGTGGTTCTGGTGGTTACTCTAGCGGCGGATCCGGCGGTTACTCTTCCGGTGGATCGGGCGGCGGTTACTCCGGCGGCTACTCGTCCGGCGGGCACAGTTCCGGTGGACACAGTTCTGGTGGTGTTCCCGCCACTATTAACCAGAGCTATGACTCCAACGGCGGCTACGTGTACTAGACTAATCCCATTCAGATTCGTTCTTTAGATTGGAACTTATAGTCAGTGTTAAGTAACGCATCTTGTTAAGAGATGTTAAGCGTTCGGTTAAGTATTCACGTACTACGATCGAATATGTTCGATGTTGTCGAGCTTTAACCATTGAGAGGATCACATTAATTTCCCGCAATTCGGTGTACATAATTACCACGTGTAGTCGATGCGTGTATCGCAGGCGAGTCACTTTCTGTCTCTCTATTTATTTGAGCCCGTTGTGTCAACTTTTTAAAGTCATGAACCTTGTGACTTAACAAAAGTTTTAAATTTATGTATTTAATTATAATGATATACTGTACAAAAATTAGATTAAGTACCTACTGAAAAATAATTTTGTATAAATTATATTTTTTGTAAATAAGTAATTCTTGTGTTTTCATTTCGCACCATAACTTAAGAAGGGGTATATAGTGTTCGTAGAAAAAGCCGTTATCAACATACTATATGTTTATTTGTGTGTCGCAGGAGCGGCCGCAGAGTTTCACAACATTACACTTTTTTTTTCACATTTTCAAAATATTCAACAAGAACTAGGAATAAGTCAATAAATAGTAGGTATATAACTACTAACTAACAGTGGGCCTTCTGTTTGTTAATATAAAGGCGCATCGTACACACACAGATGGATATTTACGTGGTTATGATAAAATTACGCTTCAAAATAACTCTAAATATAAAGTCGCCTACCATTTTACTAATAAGAAGCATGATGGGGGACGGAAGTACCTATATGAGTCGATTTTTAAAATGATTTTATAGCATTTACAGCAGTAGAACTGATGGAATTAACACCACTATACATTTTCTATCACTCGTCAAGAAATATTGATATAAATATAGTAATTATATATATTATTATATACGATGCATGCAATAGTAATGAAAAGCTTCAGTGTTAGATTAATAAAAACATAATCTATGGATATCTGTCTCTATATCAATATATAAACGAGATACTGAAAAAAACTACCGAGTAGACCAACCTGACCGGAGGCCCGGCCATTGTGCCTACAGATAGAGATTCTATTAAGAAGTTTATGGTATACAATTTAAAAGTTTATTTATATTGGCTGGATATCACGGCAAATGAGAACTTCATAACTAAACATTGCTAATCGGTACTTTGTGCTTTGTACGTACTACCATTGTCTGTTCAACCCTTTGGGATTAGAGTACGATATGTATATATTTAATAAAAATATATAATAAATCCAGATATAACGATGCGCATTAATATTATAACACTTGGCCGCGGAACAACAACGATTCCTATATCTACACTTACATTTACATTGATATGTTTCGTTTCACACTAAATATATTCATCTATGATATGTATAATATTTATATTTAATCACACAAACATGATATGTATCGTACGTAGTCTTAGAGGTCGAGTATTAATAGATAAAACATTCGTCACCACGTCATTAGATATGTTGTAGTACACATTTATATCACAATAAAAGGTTATGCAAAACATCTCATAAAAATCTCCAATACAATCAATAGAAGTCGTTGGAACTACTCATTTATAAGTTCCTCATAAAACAACATTAAAAGCCCAGGTATGGTGATCATTGATAACTTTATAATACACCGATTAAGTAATCTTAAAGGTAAATACATTCAAAAGCGCAAATGGCGACTTTACACCAAATATTTTACATTGATTCAAACGCCAATAAGTGGGATTTGTGGCATCCATATTATATGTGTGAACATCGATACACGTTTATAATTAAAATATTAAATATCCGTGCTGTCAGTGACTATGAAATATTTAAACTGTGGCTAATTTAACCCTTTCAATGAATCACAATACACCATAACCTGTTTTAGGCCGCAGTGACACATTAGAAATTATATACTGACAGCGAGTCGCAACATTTTACTTGTATAGTAATATGTAACATATTCATAACAGGACAAAAATATTTGGCATTTAAAATGTCTTTTTTTTATATATATATTCTTTGTTTAAAAATTTCACAATGATTAATAAAATATGTTTTTACTAGGTAATTTTTTCTTATATATTTATTACCTTTACGAGTAATAATTAACATTTCCTTGAATGCGATATAACTTTATATTATACTAGTGGACGCCCGCGACTTCGTCCGCGTGGAAGTCGGTATCCCGTGGGAGTGAGAAGTTTTCCCAGTAAAAAGTACCCTATGTGTTATTCTGATGTATAACCTATATTGCTGTAAAGTTTTATCCAAATCCGTCCAGTAGTTTTTTCGTGAAAGAGTAACAAACATCCATACATCCATACTTACAAACTTTCGCCTTTATAATATTAATAGGATCACTGACAGCACGAATTCTTTATTTGCATAATTCTTATATCTATTATAACAAAGAGGAGACTATTAGCTTTAATACAATATAATAAAATATAAAATTAAAATATTTTAAAATATACAGATAAAGCTTCGATAAAAAATAAATAGCCACTAATTTGACCTACGTTAAAAAATGCACTACAATTCTTTGTGTGTTCATTTACCATTCATAGTTTGTATACAAACCACCTGAATGTCAATTAAACTAATCTTTAATTGTCGCTTATATATGCTTCACAAGCTGTATATATATCATTCGGATTTCATATAATATTTTTTAAACATTCACATATTTCAATATTACTTTGGTCACGAGTAGCATTATATATATATATATATATAACCTGTGATCATCTCTACAACGTACATTCATATTCATTTACGTTATTACAATACGTTCTATGAAGCACGTAACATATTATGTGCTCGCTACTTTAATTGACTTAAATAAGGAATCTTCATCGATATACAAATAAGACGACAGTATACATATAAAATCTCTTCTAACGCGAGAATAAGTCTCCACCATGATATGTATCGGTTGCACAGTTATTAATATACTCGGCTACAAAATAAATTCACTTATATTCATTTTATACATTCACTATATCGTACGCTATCGCTTTAATGCATTCTTATATTACGTACACGCGTGCCTATAACAAGTCCGCGCAATCGTTATCGGATCCTTAGTATAACGGTGAGAAGGCGATCGATGGTTTTATTAAAACATACAAAACTGTGTTCCTCGGAAGATGCCGGCGATGAGACATTGAGCATAGTTCTAAAAATACTTAAACGGCTGTCCATTCGATGTGGACACCGGGGAGAAGAGGTCACAGGTCACTAGAGTGTAGTCTGTGGGGGGTGTTTACTCATCTCAGAAAGCAGTTTGTTTGCCGAACGGTTGCACCGGCGGCGGGGCGTTGCTGGTGCCGAACAGCGGGGTCGGGCCGTCGTTGGGGTCGTCCAGGTCGTCGTCCGGTTCCAGTGCGGGGTTGATCCGTCCGGTGGACTCGTCCGGTCCGACCAGCGTGGAGGCGGCGCCGTACAGCCGGCCCGGCACGCCGCCCAGCACGGACATCTGCTCGCCGGCCTCAGACGGCTCGTCCACCCGCCTGATGTCTTCGGGGATGTTCACCACGCAGTTGAAGTAGTCCGATTCGGGGCTCAAGTAGCCGGAGTTGAACAAGTACCTGGACAACCGAAAAGACGTGAAGAAAGTGGGATTTTTCATTAAGGATATTGTGCACCGAATATCACATCATTATGCCAAGATGCAATAGGTTCGGGAACATGTGTCTACAAATTAGCATACATTGTGTGTATGTTTAAATAACTTTATACATAGGACATGAAATGGATAAAAACCTTAATTTGATAAAGGTATTGGACATTGCAGAAGTTGCAAAATGAATAATATGCAATGGTGACGCTCTAAATACTTAATTAAATGTTTGTAACTCTATTTTTGAGCATAAATGCTTCTCATATTTTGATTTATATATGTATTTGAGACAACTTATTTGATCTTGACATTTTAATCTAAACTGAATGCCGCCTTAATTCTTATAAAAACGTTCCTCTTCTTCATAATTATACATCAAATCATATAAACCAAAATGACGGTGTCGTTGTCTATATAAAAAATTACGATCAGGCGCAGGTTACTGAACTAAACCGAAGTATATGCATCTGGACTTCAGATTCATACATCTGGAGATACATTAATATTTCAAATATTAAGTTTCAATAAAGATCATATTTTAAAACTTTGGATGACAAAATTACAAATTACGAAAGGTGAATATTAAAAAGAAACGATGTTAATTATCAAATACAAAAAGTTTCCGCGCTAAAAGGTTACGGCGCACCGTTACAGTGGCTCTCTAACAAGATACAACTATGCCTAAAGGTTAGCTAATATCCTCAGCAACAATTGTAACATATACTCGTTTATATGACTATGCTATGCGAATACTATGCGAATTGTAAATAAACATTTACAATTTACAAATTAGTCGCAGCAAATCCCATTTGTCATGACGTCTGTACCTATCGCACTACATGAAATGAAATTATCTTTATTCAAGTAGGCTTATTACAAGCACTTTTGAATCGTCCAAAAAATTTTTTCCCCTACCACTTGTTCAAGACGTCTTTTAGCTGACAAGAAGAACAAACGAAAGAAACTTACAAGCTCTTTATCATAAGTAATGACATTTACATAAATCATGTCATTACCAAAATAATATGTATTATCACAATAATAAATACAACTTTCAAAGTCTGTAGGACATAGGTTAAACATTTAATTAGACTTTATAGCACAAAGCGAAGGCTATTAATTCCATGCATTGCGATCCTTAAAATAATCATCAACTTTATAATAGCCTTTACTCATAAGTATATTCTTTACATGAATTTTAAATTTATTTACGGGTAGGTCAATTACATTTTGTGGAACTTTATTGAACATAGCAATGCATTTACCAAGAAATGATCCTCTGGTTTTCTGAAGTTTGAAGCTTAGAACGGCAAGTTTATATTTATATCTTGTATTAAGATTATAAACACTACTTCTTTTTTGTGAATGAATCGTAATGTTTTCTTGCTACACAAAGTTATATTAAACTAATAAATGTTACAATAATGGGATATTACAGTGAACGCACCTCAATAAAACTCTAAGCTTAACATAAATTTTGACAAGAAATAATCGCGGAATTATCTTTTGTTAGTGACTTCCATCGGGCCAAACAAACATCTTGTGCAAACAAGGCTGCCAATCATGTTGACTTCGTTAACATGATAAGATAAGTCAGGAAGCTGTTTGGTAATTGAAACGTCTTCCACCTTTGTGAATAAATTTAACATAAAAGCGCTTTCATCAAGCGTATTTCATTTACAAAATTCAATATCTCACAAAGCTCCGAATTTTTTAACAGATACTCGTATTCCTTTTTCCATCTTTTTTTGTATGGAATCTTTGTCGTTATTTTTAATTGAGCTCAAATTGATAGCTTGGTCAAGAATTTAAAATATCGTCATCTTCCACAACACCAACATGACGTCTTTTAATTTTTTTTAATATTATTGTATAAATTAATATCGATCAACGTCAACTTCTCCAGTCCATCGATGTCCCCACTGGCTGGTTGCACGCCTTGCCTATAGATGGCGTCGAATCGAAACGGGACAATTATAATGACGGCATAGTAAAAAATGTTTTATGATTGCTACCAATTTGAATAACGACAGTTTTGACTTAAGCTTATTAAGAAGAAACCAAAATTTTCCAACAGATCAAAACACTACTTACACAGAGAGCCAGGAGATGAAGGCGAGTGTGAACAGTGACATCACCATGGCCATAGTCCTGAAGGGGAACAACTGGACCTCGTTCTCCGCATCCCATCCCGGGTAGTGGATCAGGGCGGGTAGACCCAGCAGCTTCTCCCCGCCTGAGAGCCGAACCAGGGCTGCCACGATGTACGCCGCCAGTGAGCCATAGGTGTTGCAATATTTCTTGAAGTGGACCACCATTAGTAGTTGAGGAAATAGAATCACGTAAACCAAGTCGGAGCACATAGACCTGGAGAATGAAAGCGGAGTCAGATTGGTTTCTAGAATATAGAAATTGTTATATTTTATTTTTTTGCAGAGCACATTATATTTTATATGTTGTTACACTAAAACAATAATTTGCGTGTTATTCTGAAAATATTTCATTTACGAGATTTGAACTTTGACTATCTTAGAGCCATCTTAGAGCTTCAAAGCTTGGTATATATAGTTTTGAAACTCATTCGCGGCCGCGGAAAAATACTAAAAATCAAGACATTGAAGGAGCTTCCAACATTGCCATCATTATCGTCATATTTGAAAGAGCGAAATATCAAGTTTCTGACCCAGTTGGAAAAAGTTGTAGATCCAGTCCTTTTTCTGCTGATTTTAAAACTACAGGAGGTTATAGCCCAAGAGCTGGCGGTCATTTTGTAGGAAGTATTTGATGAAAGCTGAAAATTAGTAGTAGGTATAGTACTTTTATCTAGTCTAATCATTGGTGGCACCAACTACTTGGCAGGCCTATGATTTCATGATTAGACTAGATAAAAGTACTATACTACTAATTTTCAGCTTTTATCAAATACCTCCTACAATATGACCGCCAGTTCTCCGACTATTATTGACCAAGCAGCGTCTTATCGCCGCTGTTGTAGTCGTCCAATATTATTAATATTAATATAACAGGGAATCCGTTATTAATTACTTGGTGAATATTTTTTTTTGTTACATAATATACCCTGTTGTTTAGGGATAGGTATATTTTTTACCTCTTAATATTAATTAGATATAGTAAAAGAGAATTAGTTATTATTAGTTACTTTTACGTACAAAATATTTAATCAAAAGTTACAAATTAATCAAAAAACATTGTAAATGAAAATCCTTTAGGAAGCAGAGATTTATGTGGAACGGACTGTGACCGAGCGACTAATTAATTTGATTAAAGCAGAGCGCCCACCGCCCATTGGACCACCACCCACCGGACCACCGGACCACCGCCCGACTTCTAAATATATAGTTACACAAATGTATTTCAATCATCAGATCACATTTACGGATAAAATGTAATTTAACATTATTCATTAATATTGATTCGTACATTTACTAAAATTTAAGTAAAAACGCAGGTTATATAACCCGCTAATTATATATCTGAAACATACAAATATTTTGCGCTGCTTCCTACTTCATATCACTTAAATACACCTAGATATATGCTGGAGCATAGTAATAACATTTTCAATGCAGTTGCTCATAAAGCGCTATTTTTTTAATCCATTGTAAACACCGAAAGTGAGTCTTTAAACACGTGTTAAATAAAAATGTACCGAAATCCTTAACTGCACACGTGCTTTAAAGTATTTTTTTAATTTTTTTTTTTTGGCGAGCACCAAAGAAATAAAAAAAAAATTAATGAAAATATTTCAAACTTTAGAGGCAAAAATATTTCAAGGAGCCTAGAACAAATATTTCCAAATGATAATGTATGATACGAAAACATGTTCAAATATCACGTTTAATTTTAACAAATAATTTTTACCTTTAATACATACTTAGTTTTATTAACCTATATATTTGTTTTATATCCTCGCAAAAAGCATTGAAAAATGTTGTAAGAAACTTGAGCGTAAAAGGTTTTTCGACTTCGTGCCAATGAAAACCCTCGCTACGGACGTGTTTTCAATTTGGCCCTTATTCGTAAAACCTTACTTTCCGCACTCGTATCTTAAATAACTATATTTAAACATCCTCATACAATCTATCTTTAAATCGATAGCATATAGTGAACATACCCACTCGTTTATGTATGAAGTCGAATGTATTAATAATGAAGCCCAAATGTAATCCTTGTGGGTTTTCGTATATTACAGTAACAGCAGACGAGATAACCTTCAATACAACCATCTCAATCTCATTAGAAATAGTAAGTACCTAAGATACGAGCAATCTTGTAAATGACCTTAGACAAGCCAAAACTGTACATGAAGAGCAATAGTATAGATTTTACTTAATGTTATGAAAAATCTCCATCGCAAAATTCATTCGTTCAAAATTGCTAGAATAAACATCGCATCGCAGATACGATACTGAGATTATATATCAATTAGTGACTGCACGTTTCAGTTTATCCATCAAATTTTAATTGCATACTAAATACGAGATATCACCAGTGTAGTTTTAGTGGAAGTTAAAATAAAAATTTGGAAACCATACAATTTCATCGATTTCCCTATAGAGGAATTGATGTATTCATAATTCACAGTATATTGTTTTGTTTCCATCATGACAGCCGGCCTACGCTGAAGTTTGAAGAAAATGTACAACTATAAAAACCTGCAAGATCATTCAATACTAATACCACATTAAATCAAATCCTCATATAGGAACAGACAAAAGAACTGATTAAACATTTATAACAATTCCCCGTTATGTATCCGGATATATTGGCATCGCGTGCATCGAACCTACCCTACCCCCCCCCCCCCTTCCAGCTTGGGCGGAGTCAACGTTATACGATTGCGAAATAGAGAGCGATTTTCAAGGCGAAACGTTCGAGATTCAGCTGACTCGGCAATTTGAAGTGACTTGAGCATAAAATCTATTCGTGGAACGACAAGACGACAGCGAGATGTTGTAAATGTCGAACGAATGAAGGGAAATCAAAAGAATTATTATAATAAAGAGAGGCGTGCGCGTACCTCGCATTATTTTTGAATAGAAATGATTTCGAATGGTACCGTTTTTCTGATTTCTTTTATTGTCTAATACATATAAAAGTGAAGAAATGAGCAGGAACGGATTTGAAGAACGAAGGCGGAAAATGGATAATTTGAACGAGTGTACTTGAAATAGTATTTTGTAAATTTATCACAGGAGTTGATTTGTGAAGCAATCTAGTTGGAAACAAATGGTTATGAATATGTATTCCCTCTAGAGTATATGACAGAATTCGTTAGTTATTTATAATGAGGGTATAATTTGATAAACAAATATCAATCCTCCCTTGATTTTAATTTTTAGTACAGAATTTGCACTTCTCTTAAATTTATGTTAAGTATAAATTCATTTAAGTAATGAAATTATTATGTCACGATTTTAAATACACAAAACAAAATATGAGTCAGCAGAGAACAGCCAACGTTAATATTTAACACCGGTGATATTAGTTTTCTAGTTTCTATTTGTTATTTTCTATTGAATTCCTTTTGCATTTTAATAATTCGCAGTTCGTCATATGGCAAACTGCAGATGCGGCTGAGACCTACAGCTTAACGTGCCTTCCGAATCACATAAGAGCTAGAATTATTTAGTTTTTGGTCACGCATCCTAAACCTTTCCAAAATCTAAACCTACGCGTCGCAGATCGAGTGCTGTAACCACTAGGCCATTGAGCTAGTTTAAATTTTACTTTTATAAATATCAGACCACATTACACAAATTGTTCGACCATATCAAAGTAATGCAGACAGTAAAGTTACCACCAAAAATTCACAATATTCAATCTCTCCTTGTAGATAGATAGATAAATGCTTTATTGAACCACTACTATCACTACATTATAAGCTGTTGTAAAATACTTAGTTGGTGTATAGAAACATTAAAAATTACAAAAGACGACGATTTGTATCACCGTACTCGGTACTAGAGTGTGAAGCAGTAGCTCAAGAGGTCAGCTCGGTGTTGGATGTTCCATATATGAAACAGATACTGATTTTCAGCTGTACCCTTGCTTGTAATAAGATTATTTTAAGGTTTCCATAATAAACGAGTAACCCTTAAAGTTTCGCCATTCGTCCGCGATTTAGCTCAAAAACCTTGTAATTTGACATGAGTTGAGTATACACGCAGGTTATATACGCCGACAAAGTGGTAAAGCAAAATTTCGGGAAAACATTTTTTAGGGTACCTGCCCACATGTAAAGTGGGGATGTTATGTTTTTTCGTCTTCCCATAGTGTAGGTAGAGCATCGTTGGAAAGGTCTTTCAAAATCATTGCCGGTGTAGGAAGGCCGTTTTTCTATTTAGTAAATCGTTTGTGAGTTATTAAGTACCAACTAAACGGTCATTGGTTATAATTCAAAAGTTTCGGCAGAAGTTCATTTGTTATGTATAACGAAGTTTAAATGAAAACTATCACACTTAAGTTGGCTTTACAAGTTTACGTGAACTAGTCGACCAATTGTATTTTATTCGAAAATTTCGAACAACTCTATAGAAAACAACAAACGGTTTTTTTTCGTATAGATCTTCTTTTTCGCTAATTCGACTCGCACATGGCCAGTTTTTTACAGCAAAATTTAATAAAGTACTTAATAATTATGAAGTCAAATAATATGATGCCTACATACGATTTTATAAAAATCTTAACGATGTTATGATATTTAGAAGTCTATGACGCCCAATATCCTTAAACATGTCTGTATTTCATGGTCGGAGTTCACGATTCCAATCCGTTTTCTCGAGAACTTTATGAGCGCTTAAACATTTATACTATAAATTATTCAGACGCTCAAAGTCTGACTTCTCTATAATCTGTAACAGAACGTAGCTCCTTGCCCTTATTGCGAAATTAACACAATATAATTTGTCCGTATAAGAACTGTGCCAATGTTCCCATAACAGCCTGTGTGCCAACATCCATTAAAATAATATGGAATCTGCGGTATCATTAGACGGTGCGTGCGCACGCGTCGATAACGTTGCGACACACAACACTCCGCTGATGGGAGGTAAGTGTTCAATGAAACGATTCAATACTGAACCGTCACTTCCACCGCTCCTATATGTTTGCAAATTGTCAATCACTGTTACCGAAGATTTATATTGTTATCATTATGTTATTAAAAACTTCTTAATTTTCAGTATCGACTTGTAGCTGCGTGAAGCGTCTTCTTTCTTTGATCGCTTCTTGTTTTTACTTAAAACAATTTGGGGTAAAAGGTGTGAAAAGTTATGTTGCATCCATATTCCTCTTCTTGTCTCATAAAAGAATTCAGTGAGCATTTGGAACTGTATTGTGAAAATAAACTAAACCAGACTCACCAGAGGCCATAAATAGATGGTATGGTGAGCGCCATGACGGTAGCCAATACCCCCACTACAAGGATGGAGACCCTCATCACCCAGATGATCTCCATTTCCGAAGCGTTCTGCCGGAAGATCAGCTTGTACACGTTCCTGTCAACAAACTGGGAATAAGTAAATAGTCTCGCGTATTTTTTTTTTTTGTACTTCAGAGCTAGGAGCATACGAATAATTTTTAAACTAAAAGTAGTAACAACTATAAAAAAGTACAGTCACCTCGCGAACATAGAGGATGCACTCAGTACGCTGGAGTCGGCGGAGGACATGACGGCAGCTGATACCGCTCCAAGACCGAAGAAGGATACGAAGTCAGGAGTGAGATGCTGCAGGACCAGGGGTAAGATCATGGAGGTCTGCTCTGGTGGTAGTTCACCGGTCGGAGTCAGAGCGCCGTGGTAATCGGTCTCATTCCACGCTGTAACAAATATTGCAGTTCAAATCCTGGACAACCTGGACTCTTTGTTATACGTATGTGTTGGATTATTCATACGTTTAATTATAAAATACGGTAAAGTGTTAGCAGTATAATATTCAGTTCTTTGGAGTCGTATTAACATTTCGAAAGTAAAGAAATTTTCGTTTTCGGAGAAATAGAATTAGAGTTGTGTTATGTTATTTCTTTAACGTCCCTACCACGAAGGATAGCGGCAATATTAATGACGTGATTTAGAAGAGGAATTGTATTCCGACCACCAAAACTCTAAATAAAACGCCCGACGATCACCTCATAAAATGCAAACTATATTAAAGTAAATTTTAGATTAATGATAGGTGTCTAAGTATCAAGTTTAGGTCCGTCTTTTGTAGAGAAAATTATAATTCGTAACTATATAATGGACACTTTTAAATTGAAAAAATATTGTTATTATTAAAAGAAATAAGCACTGACTAAAAGTATAAAAGCTATCTTATGCAAAATTTTGTCTAAATCTCCAGTCAACCTTACCTATGTGTGATGAAAATTTGCTAGACCAAACCTTATTCCAATATTAAAATATAATATTCTGACAATTGCCAAAAATAGACCTGTGAATATATTTTTAAACCGCATTGTTGAACTAGGAAAATCAAAATCTAAACATTCGGTAAAAGAAGTATGTCCACAGCAGAGGCTGTACACAGCAGAGACGACGTGATCCGACAGTAAATAGCTTAATTGATGCAACAAATTCACCCAGTCAATGAACGTGTAATTCTACGAGTTGCAGACGTACATACAAACAGGACATTAATGTGATTTTGCAAGATTTATTACGAGAAACTCATCCTAATACCATCAATTTAAATGGAAAAAATGGATATAAACTATTATTCGCTGGGATTCCCTATAATCGAAAAAGAGTTTCTTGAAGTGAAACTTGTGGTATTTAAATAAGGACTGTGTACATAAATAAAAAAATAATGTCATCTTTATTCCAATAATTATTCCAATAATTAGGTTACTTATGAAAGTTCCATGAACAGAGCGTATTTCTAGTATTAACTTTGTTTATAGATTTTTGACAACAGTGTTATCTTAATAAACTATAAAACAATTTTGTTAGTTTTAGAACACGAAGATTTGATTAGCATATTTAAAAAATTTAAACGATTTGGAATTTGTAGAAGTCAATATCGTAAATATGCACCTCCGTGTGTATAGAGTTGTCCTCCCTCGTCTCCACCAACCTGCCACCACCAGCTACCAGAATGGAAATGAATCCTCAAATCCATCATATAATAAGATTTAAGAGATATAGGTAAATAAATACAGACAATATCACATACATTGCTCAGATCTCAAAGTTAGTAGCTAAAGCACTTATATTATTGCAATCTGAGACAACGAAGGTACCGCGACAACCAGACCGACCCAACTGAGAATCGAACCCGGGACCTCAGAGATGGCGATACTTAGAAACTATTCGGCCCCGGAGGTCATCTAAAAATATATATATAATTTTTAAAAGGTAAAATAAAAACGTCATATCATAACTATGATATAGTTTCAAAACTAGAGTAGAAAAGTTTTTTAATAGAATCTCAAAATAGTGTGCGTTACCAGTGGCTTTAGCGATGGCTCCGATGAGCACCGGCGGGAGGGCCATGATGATGCAGCCGAAGGCCGCCACGTAGGACAGTATCTGAGCACGGCCCGCTGTCTTGCTGCTCAACACACGCTGGAAGTATACCTAGCAGGGACAACGATTACTGCTTATCAAATGATATTAAAGGCACTCCTACTCACCAGTTATATATCGCTTCCACACTTGTTCAACTATTTGTGTAGTTGTATAATTGATTTATTAATTTTATTACCTGAAGATGTATAATAAATAACAAATATTTATTTTTAAAATTTCATGCAATATTCTGTAACATTATATTATTGCTGTGTTTAAACACGTTTATATGTTAACTGCTAAATTCTAATTTCCAAAAAAACTTTAGACGGTAATTATATATAAAACTTTACTTATGAAATATAAGTGATGTCTCATTTAACTAGGGGACGGCCATGCGCGGCAAACATGTTTTTAATTAAAGGCAAAATGGTTGTAGCCCATACAGCCTGGTCTATAATAACATTTCACAAGGTTCTCGTACTAAAGCGTTGGTATTTACTGATTCATTGCTTTGGAGGCTATTTGGGTCTTTTATTGTCTATATTCTATTTAATGCATATTAGCTCTGCCTGAAATTAACATATAACACTTCTCTAGAAATCAAAATTTTATAATTTAAATGTTTCATTTTTCGTTGTTGCCATATACAACAGTACACACAGCAGCACGTCCGATTAACACAAAAATACGAATTTTCTCAATTGATTTTTAAGTTTAGTAATTACTTTTAAGGTTTAATTAAAGTGAAGAAAATTCACAGTTTTGTTTACCTAACGTGTCGTTATACAGAAGTAATAAGAAATTTACACTTTTATAAAACGCAGTGAGTATATTTATTGATATCAACCAACGCACCCATAATACAAAAACGCTTATTTTGTATAACTATTTTGTCAAGGTTTTATTATAAAAAAATAATCTTGATGTTACCTAGAAATATATTAAGATTACATATATAAAACGTACCTGCCACGGTATCCCTCCGAAGATCAGGAGCAAACCGTAGTCGACGTAGAACCAGTAATAAGCTGGATCGATTGTCCCGATCCAGTCCACTTCCATGGAGCTGAGAGGTTTCACGTGATTGTTGGCCCACGCGAACGGGATGCACATCCACAGCCCGATGAAGATGCAGAACAGTTGTATAACATCTGTGTACGCCACTGAGTACAGTCCCCCGAATAGTGTGTAGAAGACAGCCACGCACGCGCTAAAGATCACCGACGTACGGTGGTCCATGTCGATTATCACCGCGAGAGTGGCTCCTGGTGAAGAAATAGCGGTTTAAGGTGAACGTTTTCTTTTCCCCTGACTCATTTTAATATGCTGTACCTAAATCTAGATAAATAAATAAAGCATAACATAGGTATGTATATACGAATAATAATTTTTACATAGATATAATTTTATGACGCTCCTCGGACGGCCTGGGACGCTTCCAGAGACCGCCAGTGGTCCACGGACCACCGGTTAACTACCACTTCTCTATAGGTACATGCCTACACAAAAAAAAATTTGGTATATAAATAAATAATTTATAAACGACATCACATAGATATACCAAGTAGTTATAGCCCTCGTATTATAATGTATTTCTTACAAAAAACACCATAACACTCAGATCAGATATAATATAGAAAAGTTCATTTTCAAAGTCCGTTCAGAAATTGAACCAGTTCTTCAGAAATAGCGACACCTGCAAATCGGCATGTGAACCATTCGGTCACGGAATGATCAAATTTAAATGAATTTGATTTATTGTGAATTAATTAAGTTGACATAACACTGCTGAATTCTATTCAAACAAAACTACAATCTTAAATACTTGAGTGCTTTTTAATAACTCAACCACACCACACCCTTCCAACGACAAAAGGGCTCATTACAATTCACAGCTTGATAAAAAAACACAATAGGCAACTTCCTGACTCCTGCATAAATTATACGTGAACGGAAATTATGATAATGAACAGCAAAAATGTGACCGATAGATATATTTGAACATTCTGACTGAAACGGCTGTAGGAAGAATTAATAAATGACACGGAAATAATACCAAAAAAACACAAGTTACTTTAAGGATACCAACATTAGAAGTATATACATATTATGAGTATTATGGATTTTCCGAAGGTTCAAGGAGCTTCAAGTGATGCGAGGTTACACAATTATTTATAAACTCTACATTTGAAAACATTTAACACGACCCGCAGCAGTAAGCACTCTAGATATTACAAAATACCTATACATGCTACACGCCCATCATTGGTTGGGTGGGGCAAAGGAACAACATCTGGAAGGAACTGAATCTAGCTGAATGAAGTCAATGTTGTGACATAAAAATAACAGTGAAATCAGTGCTGAAATGGATGTTTCAGAGAACGTTTATTTATTTTGTAATTCATAAATATTAACTTTAAAAGTCCGATCGCAGGCCAATTACTTTATTATATGACAAGCAAGATAGAAGCAAGCAGCAGTATATAAGTGTAAGCTGTTGTTCTGAAAACAATAGCGGCAAACACGAGGTGTAGTGTCACAGCGTCGAGGATATTTGACCTACAAACGTACATCCTTGAATGGAACTAACAACCGTGCTATAATATGCCACTGTGTTGTGAAGATAACCCAGTGTACCTTTAAAAATAATCCTTAAGAAAACCAAAAAATATATATATTAGTAAAGAAAACTAATATTATAAAGAGGAAATATTTGATTGTTTATTTGTTTGCTATTAATAATAATAATAAATAAATTTATTTTCAGACAAAGTCCATAGATTTTTAAGTAAACGAGAACTTTAAAAACTATGTTAGTATATCTGGTAGCTCTTATTTCTTAAAACATAATTGGGTCATGAATACCATCACCCAATGCTTCAAAATCGGACCATCGCAGCGGTCTGCAATCACGTTCAGGAGACCGTTAGTGCCACCACGAACTCTACGCATCAAGGATACAACTCTCTCAATGGACCCCCAAAATATTGTAAAAAAATATTTGAATTGCGGGAACTGCATGGTACACGAGTGACATGCGCTACAAAGTCGCCGAAAAGTTTTATATATTTTCACAAAAAGTGCACATTTCATTAACCTATTTGGTTTTATGTATGTCTTAGTTTAATTATCATATTAAATAATTTCCTTGATGTATAAATAAATAAAAAATATATTAAATTTGGTTTCACACTGCCATACTGGAAAATATTCATTTGTCATTGAGAAAATAGAACAAATATAAAAAATATAGAATTTACTAGTAAATAACGCGTTTAGAACATCAAAACAAGATTGTAATATGAGTTTTAGTCAACTTAATTATTTTGCGCACGCCAACACCGACGAAACTAAATGATTACCGTAAAAGATATTTCGAAGAGACACGCCGCAGTAGTCCGATCAAAAATTTCTATATTCTTGGTACATCTTATTGATACGGAATATAAACCTGAATGATTGTTAGTCGCTCTCTAAATAAATACATAGTTTAAAACTTTGTATTTAAATTCTTTTAAAGATTATTTATGACATATATAATTCCGTACCTCTCATATAGAGCTACTAATTATTAAATTTTATAAAAAAGAAAAACATTAATTGTGGTTATTCAGCTGTGTTGTTACTGACCGAGTGCCGCCAGTATGCCCGCGGCCCAGAACACCTCGCCGCACAGCGCGGGCAGGAACAGCAGCCCGCCCATGCGGCTGCCGAACGAGTCCTGCAGAGGGTCCAGCATGGTCACGTAGCCCTGCCGCCTCATTGGGTTAGCGAAGAATATACCACCTAGTGGACAATTACAATAGAATGACTATCACGTCTACTTGATCATTTTCAATTATTATTCCATTCTATCATACAACATGTTTATATAATACTAGTTTTCCGCCAGTGGCTTCACAAGCGCAGGCCATAGGGAACCATTTAGTGGACAAATTGTCGCCTTATTTAATCCAGACTTATAATTATCCGTATACTACTACATTTCATTAAATTCGTTCAGTAATTTTTGCGTGAAAGTGTAACAGACTCACAAACTTTCACATTTATAACGTTAGTAGGATAATTTAATTTGTTTATAAGTGTTACACGAAGATTCCGGTGAGAAATAATCGGCATTATTATTTCATTTGCGCTCCCATCACACTAAAAATCTTAATCCAAATAATTTTACAACGATCGAATAAAGTAATGTGTTACGTACATATACGGTATAAGATTCATTATTATTCACAGAGCACATGGCTATATACAGATACACATAATTAAGTGCATAATAACACACGCAGAATCCGCATAACCAAATGCTTAAATCGACAGCTGTTTCCAAGTATCGTTCATTATTCTAAGCTGGCGTTACCTACGAGGTCATGGATCGATTCCTGCGGGGTCAATATAAAAATGGAACCGAATTAATGTTCACCATTGGAATACTTGCCCCAATTATAGATATACGTATCCACTACCATTAAAGAATTAATCATAATAAAGTGCGTATTCACAAAGCCTGATACGAACACGAAACTAATTAAGTAAACATGAATGACGTTCGACAACACGTTCACAGCGACCGAGTTGCCAGCGAGAAGTCTACTCGATTGAAAAAAAATAAGTGATCTAGTTTTTCCGCCGCAATAGAACTAATTATAGGTGAAAAGCGCTTAGATCGCTTAGAATATAGAATCAAAGAGACCTGTAGACCTCATTTTATCAAATTTAACTTTACATATAAAAACATAGAAACCTTTATTAAAGTAAAAGATAGTCACAATATTAATACACGACACAACAATAGATTATACTTATAAAGAATAACAATATAGAATAAATACAAGCCCTTACTATATGTCAATTAAAATATATAATAAACTACTAAATTATATAAACAATGAAACAAATTACAAAACTTTTTCAAAAGCACTAAAATCCTTTCTTGTATCTTAATGCTACTACTCTATAAATGAGTACCTACACGCATGAGGTATATATATTATATGTCATCTACTCGCTACAACAAATTAGTAAAAACAAACAGTTAAATATTTAATTTATATAATTTAAAAATGTTTAATTTTAACATTTAACCGAAATTGCTATGGTACCGTAAGGTTGGTAAGGTCTTTATGTATTGTAACAACTGTATATAGCCACACTTAGTTGGCAAATAAACTTTTGACTTTGACTTTGAAATTACTAAATAAATTATGTTTAGTCAACATTACATATATTGCTCTGATCTCTAATCAAGTAGCAAAATTATATATGTACCGCTATAGCTTCGTCAGTAATGGAAACATTTATTTGAAATCATATCAGTAGTATTGTTTCTATACTATAAGAAAAATGGGAGAAGAGAATCGACTATATTTCACTGTCACTAAAAGTTCTCAACGGAATTGTCCTTGAAAATATATTGAATTTGTTATCGGCTTATATAATCTCTAACACTACATTAAACAAAAAAAATTAAGCTCAAGTTCATTCTTACCAAAGACCAATGAGAGTGCGTAACCGAACGGCGCCTGGCACCACACCAGCCCCGAGGTGTAGATGGCCTCCGCGGTGCCGTTGATGTACCCGCCTCCCACCCATGTCGCTGCACACATACTCACCACATCAAGATCAAACGAAACAACACACGACTATGTGTAAAAACCATTTCATTTAATAAAATACATAAACCTGCTTTAAATATCAAAATAATACCTTCATCAGCATCAGCCTATTAACGTACCCACTGCTGGGCACAGACCTTGCATGTAAATGGAATTTAATCGAATCCATCACGTGGGCCAGTCTGGATTGAGTGGGTGTTAATGACTACCGATGCAGCCAGGGCTAAATGCTGGGCCCTGAATGTAATACATACATTCAGACTGTTGTTTTTACGTAAAATGGTTTTGGAAATCCTGATCTCAGATTCAAAAATATATTACTAATTTTGTCTTATCAACTTTTTGCACGGAGAACCCGATATCATAAATTTTTGATCACCCATCTTAAATCCGGCGCTTGCGAAAGTTGCTAAACTTACGCATCGCAGATCAAACACGCAAATTACTGTGCTATCGAGCTCCTCCAATCATACCAATTATAAAGGCTGCTGAACAATCAAAATTTTCAGGTTTACAAAAAACGTTTCTCATTGCCCTACTTTTGTTTGTCGTAATTATCTTTACGCGTAACAGCCTACACATATTTTTAGGCCTAATTTGTTTACACATAATACAGTAAATCGAGAGAGGTGGGTCGGTGCTCAGTCTGAGGAATACGAATCGGAATGTGGTGTGAGACAAGGGGAACTAAACTCGGCCACGCTTTTTAATATATTTATGAACCAGCATGAATTTGATCAGCACACATATTGTCTGTCAAACTGACACTGACGGTACTGTTTCTGGATGTATGCATGGAGCACTTTTAATATAAATAGAACTCTAAAAAGCAAAAGGCGTCTAAATAACAGTCTGATATTGTTCCACCAGTACAACTCAACGAACAAATTTGCTTGAAGAATTCGTCAGTCTTCTTAGGTCCTAGATAGCTCTGTGGTAAGAGCAGTCGCTCGGATTACGAAAGGTCGTGGATTCGAATCCCATCTCAAAGTATCTGTGACAAAGTGGGTTTTTAAGCAATCTTTATTAATAATATTTTTCAGCATAGCATGGTAAATGCAAAATTAATCAAATATAATATCAATTGAGTAAATTATGAATAAAACATTACGCGAAAAAAGATATACACAAATAATCATTGATCCAAGCATCGCAAATATTTTATGAAACCTCTTGAGAATTACAAACCCAAAAAAAGGTTCTATCTTAATCGGAGTACTGTTAATGTGGATATCACGAGCATGTACTTTTGCATAAAACCTTTTTTGAATAAAACATTATAAGTATGTTAGTACAGTACATTATTTTGTTTCGTATTCACATGGCATATAAAATAAGAAAACTTTTATTTATACCTACTATCACTTGACATTATCCTTTAAGCCGAAACTTCAGGAGCCCCTCTTTATTTTTGGGTTAAGTAGCTACCTGCTTGTCGAGTCTAAAATGATTTTCCTGTAAATTCTGTTTGGTAAAACAGCAATGCTATTCTGAAATTAAATCAGCCTCGAACTAGACGTTGTCGACGGTTTTAGACTACATCAGTGTTACGTATTAAGTGGTCTTCGGCCTATCCCCTTGCATCGCTCTCATGGAGAGGGACATCGCTAATTTTTAGTACCTATAAAAACAAGTAATAACTTAACTAAAACCTTTGTTTATACTCTAACGAGACAGACTGTAAACTGACATGTTAGAAAACATGCATGTACTATATTGTAACAGAACGTATAGGTGACTCTATTTCGAGTGGTGTGAATATTGTATGAGGCAATTAGTCTGTACGTGACGTGAAACCTAACGTTCTAAACTCTCACCTAAAACGAGTTTATTCATAGTTAAAATACTAGACAATTTCTAAAGAACACGTCGCCACGAAAGAATTATCTTAAAACAAGAAAATATATATATACCCTAACAAAATGTCGTCAATGTCGTCTTTTACGGCTATTTTTTTATATCGTTAAAATAGCTGTGATATATAAACATTTCTTCAAATAATACTAAAAATATATAAAATTTCAATCAGCCTTTCCGTAAACACAATAAATGACCTTTCGGTATCCATATGCTATGTTTATTTATTATAATTTTAGAATGTTGCAAATGTCCATATTGTGATCTGAATAAGATTTATGTTAATGCTTATAGTTGGTCATCTCACAATTTTTCGGACCGTAGCACTTCATCGACTACGGACCGTAGCACTTCATTACCACAAGCTACGGATGAAACTAGTGACGCTCGAATCAAACGACAGTAGACGCCTTTTTTTTATTGTGCTGTAGGAAACACATAAATGACGGGAGTAGCGCGTCACGTGCACACTACGTACGTCATCTCTGTTTGATTCTTATTATGCGCGTTCTCGTCTGTGACCTTTGCTATACGAAACATCAAAGGACAGAGAGGTGACATGAAGAGGTCAGCTCGATACCGGAGTGATAGACCTATCGCGCTCCCGAGAACATCGTTCTATTTATTCATATAAAGATTTTATTTTTATACAACTTATTAAAAACTAACATTTATTTAATAAATATAATGTTTGGCGATTACGGAAAGTACACACTGTGCGTACGCTGACGTAAAAAAACTTGTATACAATAATGATGGATTACCACCCAACTTTTTATACTGCACACTTTTTGTGCTTCCGTAATACAGCATACGTGGACGACACTTTTTAGAACTGGCCACTTGTAATCAGTAAAAAATAATTAAAATTTTGGCAATGGAACTCTTTGTTAATATTATTACTCAATATGTATATATATTCGTGTGTTTCATTTGTTTTACATTTTAACGACAAATTGATATTTGTCTGTGTTACGTAACCGTGAATATAACACAAGCATATTTTCATGAAATGATTCACTATGACTTTCGATGTCATGAATGTGATCCTTCGAGCCGGATGCGGTGCAGTGCCAAATAAGTAATTATTGGATTTATGCACAGTGTGCTAAAGTTTGACTACGAGTGAGTTAGTTAAAAGTAAATCATCGTAAAGACGCCACGTTTAATGAAAAATTACAACCAGTGTTTACCGATATTACTACCAGGAACTATTAGTTTTCTTAAATAATTTTAAGAAAACTATTTAGTAATCACTGCAATCAACTGTCGTGAATAAATTAAATCATTTTTTTTTTAAATGTGCTATGTGAGATTTGTTACACGGTTAGACTCCACATCAGACTCATTTTGTTCTCTGTGCCTCGACGCTTCAATCGCAGAAGTAACTGAACAATTTTAGATAATAAAGACAATTTTGTATTAATATTTTTTAAATAAATATACTTACATATTAAAATAAATTTTATATACATTTTTTAATCTTTACCGATGGTCTAAACTGGTAATTCAATAATAAATCCATAACACACACATACATAGGACATAGTTTTTAATATATTTAGCTCATACCCAACATTTCATCTCGTGTATTTCTCTTGTGACTATAATAAGAGCTTTGTTGCCTTTTTCGGCCACCAAAAACCTTTTTATGTAGGCGGGACAGATTTATCGCCTACATAAAAAGGTCTGTACTTACGTATACTACTTAGTGTTATTAATATTACAACAATTTAGTAACAAGCGCAATGAAAATAGTATATAATGTGTTATATGTCGAGACGAGAAAATTGTTTTTGAATTGTATCCGAGTAAATTGTAATTCTATATTTAATGAGTGTTTTCCAAATATGTAAGTAGATTTAATGTGCAACGAAAAATGATAAAGTTTTAAGTAAAAGGAAAAGTAAAATTATTGCATTCTAATAATAAAATTATAAGCAATTGTAAAAATAATTATCTCTAGTGACTCCAATAGGGGATCGGACATCAATTAAAAAAGAATTAGATTGTATGTGGTTAAAAAGTTCATAAACTTTAAAGAAATTTTTTGCCAAATAACACTTATTTATATTTTTAAATAAATAAACAAAAATATATGTTTCCAATATTTGTAGTCCGTATCTCACGTCAAATGAAAAACAGATCAGAACACCTTTTGAATAAATAGGAATAAAAAATTCTAAATTTTAACTTAGGCTTCCACTACCAATATACAAAAAGCAGAGTTAATAAAATTCTCCACAATGGCATCACCATTAATTAAAAAGAAGAAGAAGAAAACTCTATGAGCAGGAAACAACGCGAGAAACATTCAAGGTGCAAAATAATCTTAATGAATTTTAACATTGTTTTTAACAGTTTACTGTTTTATTTATTTGCGAGTTTAAATTAAGTACTGCAGACGATAATTCATTTTTTTCTCAGAAAATCCCTTTTGTTTACTCCACAAATGACGTCACATCCTCCGACTCGCCGTATATGCCGTATATACAGTAAAATTTTAAATATAGTTTTGAGTACATAAACTCTTTTGTGGGAATAAGCGCTTATAATGATAAATTTAAAACACTTTTATGTAAGTTGTCCGATCTCCTACTGCAAGTGGTACTGGAGCTGACGCGACATAGACGCTGCGTTAACGTGATTGTCGCATTTTCGAAGAAGTTTCTCGTATAATTATTTCCACCACGGTGTGGGCGTATTTCATGAACGTTTAAGTAAGTATCGTATATAGATACATATGTAAATGTATTCGTATATGATTGTATCAATATCGTATCTCGTATCGTAGATTTGCTAATTTATTTGATATCGAGTATTTCTACTTTCACTGGTGATTTTAAACAGCTATAGTTTATTTACACTGTACGACGTGGTCAGCACGAGGAGTGCGGATGACCTGTCATATCTCTCATTGGTGAATTAATCAATGACCGACCAATGTAAGCGTCATGGGCAAGTATAAATACGCCGTAAATTCAACAAAATTTAAACGCAATATATGGAAAAGGAAGAAACGGTTAATAAAATCTAATTATTTTACATTGAATTAAAGGAGTAACTTGGTGCTGCCACCACAAGATTATCTCTGAGGGAGCCAGCGTGGGTGGCTGATGACCACTTGAGCATTGTATGGCACCACCTGACTCAGGAAAGTCAAAAGGAAAGTGGGGACCACCCCCGAAAAAGGGCATACCCAGGATTTTTAATGGATAAACCTCCGCCCTCAGCGGGAAAGAGACTCACACACTCCCTGTCTGAAGGAGCAGCAGGGACTTCAGCGTAACGCATTAAGGTTAGGTCAAAAAGAAATCAAACGCCTGAATATGATAATACTCCAAGTTCTTCATCTGTGCATAGATCTGTACTGACCTGTCATAGTGAAAATGCCAACGAAGAGTCCGATGGATCTGCCCGCCAGCATCACCTCCTCCTCGGAGTCGTTCCCCGGGGGCTTCTTACGTCCGGCCCATATGCCCACGGCCAGGATCAGCACGTAGAACAAGATGATTGAGATCACGCCCGCTATATTGATCATCTTTGATAATTCTGCTCACCTGCGACCAAACAACACATTTACTAAACTTTCATTGAAACTGTATACCTAATATATAATTAACCAAAAAGCAAAAAAAATGTTCTTTTATTATGGATATCACAAACAATTTTTTTTTCATTCCTATAAATTATTTTTAATGCCTTATCTGAAAAATGGAAACTTTAGTGCGTTAACCAACTAAAGAAGGCAATGAAAATGTAACAACTATGCAATCTAATTTCCTTTTGATGTAAAAGAAAGTATAGTATCTAAATAAAGTAAAGATCCGAAATATCCGACTAGTTTTTATATACAAAAGTAACAAATGGCCATATATCAAACCATATCACCAGCACCTACAAACATAAGAATGATATACACACGAACATGAAGTTTTCAGGCTTACTTAATTGGTTAACACGACAACAAATTTATTTACTCTCTGTAGGGAACCTGTTGTACCTTGGACAGAGTTATACCTAAAACAATCATATATAAAAATCTCGCGCTTTTAAAAACAATTGTGTATGGTATTAGATACGTCATTTGTCAACATTAGCGTGAAGTTAGCTATGATAACCCGGCGCCATGACAGCACAGTTAAGAAAATAATTATTTTACACGGAAGAATACGTTTTTGGAAATTTACTTCATGTCCATTTATTAAAAGTGTTGCGTGTTTCCCAAAACTGTTTTATTTAGAATATAATCTTAGTTTATCCAGCTACAAGACGGCATGAGTATCAGATCCTAACATCAAATGGAAATGGGTTGATGTACATCGGTCACTGGCCAAAGTATGTTACTCCATGGCATATACCTTGGTACATAGTTTACATACAGCCAATTTATTAACGTACGTTTTTATGATATTATATTGTCATAGAAAAAGACTGAAAAAATGGCAGGAAAGTATTTACTGCGTTATTTAAGAAATATTATATATATAGAAGAGCCTTCGGAAACCAGAAGTTGCGAGCATGGCGCGTGCATCGGCATTCAATAAACACACAGTTGAGCTGACTTTCAATAGTTCCAATAAAGCTATATGACAATGCCGTTAACATTGTGGATATAGATGAGAGAGGATTATACAGTGCACGTCCCTTCAAAAATTCTGGTACCAACTGGAGTTAATTAAGTATAATTTGTGACAAGCGCTGAAAGAGGAAATATTGTTACCATGATAGCTGCGTGTAATGCTGGTAGAGGAGCTATTCCACCAATGGCTAAATATTACACAGGATCTAAATTAAATTTTTTTATAGTTCATGGAGCACCAGAGAGCATTTTAGGAGCTGCTTTCGTGATGTTTATGAACCATTTCATCAAATTTGCATGACCTAAGGAGCAGCCTGCCATTGTTCTGGTGAACAATTACGATAATCATATCTCTGGCAGAAGATAATGGTCTAATTCTTGTTACACTACATCCACAAGCGATAAAATCAAACCATTGGAAAAAATCTGTATTTGAACCTTTTAAAATGTATTTAATCAGGCAGCTAATAAAAAAAAATATGACTCCTGGACATATATGAATATCAATGAACATGGACACATTTGTTTATTTTGTATTGTGTGATTCGATACCAAAATATTGTAAACAATAATCAGTAAAAAAAGATGGGTGAAGTTTATAAAAACAAAACACTTCATTTTGTCGCTGATAACTGTTATAATATTAGTTAGCAAAGTCTAACATGATTGACAAGTTTAACGAGCACCATTATTTGAAAAAATCAATATTCAAAAACTAGTCTAAGTCCAACAGGTTCCACTACTATTATGACTGGATTCACCAGAATACCAGTGCAGCCGGGTCTACCAGCTGCTTATACTGATCTCGGTCCAGTACTAGCATCACGTGACATACGCAAAATGCTACACGCTTTCTTCCTTTCATTTTTACGTTTAATGTCTTGTTTTGTTTTTGTGTGTTAGTACACACACAATAAACTTTTTGTCTTCCTTTCTAACCAAATACAACTAAATTAATTCGGACGTTTGAGGAAGACCTTAAATTAATACAATTAAGAAACAATGAAACGTTTTTCACTTTTGTTCACGCGTCTAAAGAAAAAAAACTGTTTTTTTATAATGAATATCAATAAAAAAAAGTAATAGCCAACGAGGTCAGAAGTAAAGTCAAAAGCATGGACAAATATCGATTTACGATACTTATTTCTGTCAAGAACACTTCTCAAAGCCACGACTACCGTACAGCGAGATACTGATTAAAAAAAAATCGAGTGTTTAGTTTCTTTTTTTTTTACAGCGACCGTCATTACCATTAATTGACATGCCGTGTGGTAGCTGTATGCATGTCGTAAATGGAGAACCGTTGTCAAATAAACAATTAATGTAGAAGGTAAACTCTCTGTTGGTAAGTACTTGGGAGTTGATTGTTTTATCCCGAGTGACAATAATGATCGTGCGTCTATTATCACAGGTAGTTCAACATCATCAGCTCAGTCTATATTCGTTTCAAATGCAAGGTCCGATAGGTTACACTGAATATTTTTTAAAGATTAAATTTATCAAATATAATAATTAAACTAAATATTCTTTAACGATAAGAATACCTTATCATTTACCATTCAGATGCAAAAATTAAAAATTTTAAACAAAGCAGTTTATTTTTACTATTTTACTTATCAATATTATGTTGAAAATAATAATTTATATAATCAAAAATACTATCAAACGAGTGTCTATTTAGATTTTTTTTTTTTTAATTATTCCATGACCCTACGTTTAGTGGTATTAGTGTATACTGTCAAAAACATCTGAAACTGTAAGTCATTTAAAGGGCAGTGTTCACGTAACTAAACCCACGACATTAAAAATAATATTGATATTCATAAATAGGTGCCGTAATACTCACTTGTTCCAAACAAAGATCCGTCCTTCGCACCGAAGGGTAATATTCAAGCTCTGGCGATCACACACGACACCATATCGTCCGATATCTCAACACCGTACCGAAGAATACGTAATAGATTTAAAAACCCATACAAATATAACACTACAGTTCGTGCACAGTTAATTAATGATATGTCAGTGAGGTGTCGCGCGCGGGCCGTGACAGCAGTCGCCCCATCGGAGGGAGGTTTTCTGCGAAGGACTGTTTCTGGTCCTGAAGCTTAGGCCGCACATGGGCGCGGGCAGCTCGACTCGCGAGGCATCAGCCCGTTACGTAAGGCACCTCAACGGCCCGCTCACGTGAGCCTCGGTGACAGCTCGCCGAGAGAACGGCCCGGTCGCGATCGATCCTATGACGTCATCGGACGCGCTGCAGCGCATGCGTCCGCATATCCACCACCGAAACCTCTATAAAAAGAAACGCATTATAAAGTTCGATATTCATTAACTCTCCAAAACTAGCGGGTCAATGTAGAAGTAGTGAACGTCGAGTAGTATAAAGGGAACATTGCAGATACGTATCACTGTATGTTTCGCAACCCCTTCATTACCCTGGACCGGTACGGAGTCGGTCTTTCATTGACAAGTTGAACGACGAGTTGAATTTGTAATAATTAACCTCAAGCTAACACAAAGTCACAGCGCGATAGAACTATGTACCTACTATGACAATGAAAAATTACCCAATCGATAGTACTGTCGGTCGCCAACGAACAATATTATTTTTTTTCTTTTTAAACTGGTAATCGGCCCCGGCTTCACCCGCGTGCTAGGTGTTAGGTGTTTAGGTAGTCGACCTACCAGGTGACGATCTAGCTCGTGACCACACACCTTCACCCGTTTTCAATTTACATTAATTGTAATGAACACCTAAATAAGTTAACTAAGTAAAGCCATTATATAATAATAATAATAATAAACTTCACTGCACACAATATAATACAAGTTACAGAGAATCGCATTTTAGACAAAACATTAGTGTTAAGCAGTAATCTCTTTCAGACAACGTGAGGATGAAGATTATTTATTAGAGTATTGAGTGCAACAGTAATAAGTATACAAAATATATCATAAATTAAATGAAACCGATATATATAAGGAGATGACGTTAAGATAAGGAAGCTTTTAACTCTATCGCCGAAAAGAACTTAGTGAGCGCGATTTCCCGACATCCTCGGGAGGCGAGTTCCATAACCGCACAGCGTGCACAGAAAAGGAATAGAAGAAGTCAGAAGAATGACCAGTAATAGGTAATTTTAGTTAAAAAATACTAATGAATTAAGTAAAATCTCTGAAATTAAAACATATAATACTAGTCCAAAGTGAGATTAGATGAAGTTATATATAAAACATAAAGAAGTAACAATTAACGTTTGTGACTTCTTTAAATATTACTTCTTTACGCAAAAACTATGTTATGGATAAATTCTTAATCTCGATTAATATTTTTTATCCCAATTAATGGTTTCCTAGGGATATTAAGTACTATCGAGTTATAATGATATGGACCACGAGGGCGAAGCCGCAGGCTGAGAGCTTGTCTTTAGTGGACTTTACTAATATTATAGAGAGAAAAGATTTGATTGTTTGCTTGTTTGCTCCACAAGTTCTGAAAGTAGTAAATCAAGTGTATTTACTTTCCTTAAACGCGCGTTTTGGTTTTACAAAACCGCAAAACTGCGTCAAAAATTAAGATTATTTGTAGGTACCAAAAATACACGTGATTTGGGCGGAGGAGGGGCAGACGTAATCTTAAGCTTTACCATGTATTACCCACGGGGGAGGGGGGGGGGGTTAAAAATGCTGAAAAGACGTCACGTGATTTATGGACGGCCCCTATGTTCGTGAACTGCTGCTAGTCGGCCGAAAACGCTCCCCACAAATTCAAGGCACTAAGTTACGTCACACAGTACTACGGTAGCGGAAACTAACTATGAGTGTCTGGGCAATCTTTATAATATCTTTTTTTATTCGTGTGACCAGTGACAAAGTTGATATTTAAGCATTTTCATATTGTTTATATTTTCCATTATTGTGAATGCATACTTAATCAAATATAATATTTAGAACAAATTTTCATCATTGTCGAAAGATTAAATATTTGTAAAAATATATCTTTCGGCTGTTTGTGTGGATTGCCTGAACATTGATGAGAATACGCTCTGTAGCAGCGAAAAGTAACAAGTGCTTGAAAGATCCGTCAGTTCTGTTAGGTTCCGGGTGGCTCAGTGGTTAGAGCGGTCGCCCGGATTGAGAGAGGTCATGGATTCGAATCCCATCTCAGAGTGCCTGATGGATTTTTTAAGCATTTTTCATTAAGAATATTTTCTATTAGCACTGTGATTAGAAAATTGATCAAATATAATAAGTTATAAAGTCTATGTACCTAATTTAATGCCATATGTATTTTAGAAAATTCTTGTCGTATATTTTCCTTATTTGTTCGAGTTTTCGAAGCGTAATATTTTACAAATTAATGTCATAGAATTTATTTTGTTGAATATTTCCAAGTTAAATTGATTTATACATTCCGAACATATAAAACAGAAACCTGTATTTTCAATTGCAAGCCTCCTAACAAAACTTTTTACACCAACCGAACAGAAAAATAATACCACTTTTGACAATTTCATAATTCAATTGACATTTCAGTTTGACTTTGTAAACATCTACTGTAAATAGCTAAATTAAAAGTGGCAAAAGTTTAACCCATTCAATTAAATAAATCATTCAAAGATGCATGATACGGTTAGTATAGACTCACAATCTTAAACATTATTATACGATTATCTCAACATACTCAAAATTGGATTTTAGGACACTTTGATTTATAGGTATAATCAACTTGGTTTCCGCCAGCGGCGTCCCCGCGTGGTCCTGTATTTCACAAATAAATATTCATCTGGAACCCTTTAGGACAATTATTTATCTACAATGATTAAATACTTGTCTAGGTATAGTATCAGAGCGCCTATATCACAAAAAAATATAAGGTGTAACTCGCTAGCTCAGTGTCAAAACTGTCACTGTTAGCGAAACATGTATTTTGTCGCATTTGAAAATTCAAGTTTGCGCGATTAAAGTGTCTGGGAATTACAAACAAAGAATGGAATCAATTAAAAATATTACGTACCATCGGTAGGAAAACTTCAAATGTCGATTAAGTTAGATGAATTAATAATTAAAATAATAAATTATAATTTTGCCTTAAGCTTTGACCCTACATACAGGGTTGCCAATACTTTTATAACTATCAAAAGTGAATTTCAAATAAATCTAATCACTAATAATTCAATCAATAATATAAAAATATTTTATTCTTTTGCTTTAATTTAGATATTTGTCTTTTTACATTTTATGGCACACAATAAATTCTTAAAAAACTTTAAAAATTTTCATACTTTTTTCCTGATTTATATGGTATATTAAATACCTGAAGATGCGAAAGTAAATTACCCAATAAACATGATAATTGACAGATATATTAATTTAATCGACAGATAAACATAGAAACAAATACCTACTGTTTGAACAACTGTCGTAAATAATATAACACCTTAGAATATTTTTAGTTTAATAATAAATAAATTAATATTATACAACATCACACATATTGTTTAAATTCTAAGACTAATAATAAACTTTTAAAACCGTAATTTATAGAGTGAACAAAACGTTTATTTTGTTACACACAGATCAACGTTATTATTATTTTTTACTATTATAAAATAATACTTTGGTAGTGACATATTCTATGAAAATTATCTTATTTCTGTTAAGAGCTGGTATAGTCAGTCTAAAGACGTCCTTAACAGGTGGTATGGTACGTATATAGAAATTAATTATGCAATAAGCTTATTTGGAGATGGAATATTTTCATTCATTTATTAGTTCAATGCAGTCAGTAATATTCATGACGCCATACTTAGATAAGCTTCTTTAAAACATTCTCGAAATAAAGCGTTTAAAAATAAATAATATTTCACAGAATAACTGTATTATTATTTTATTGCATTACTTACACAATATAATGAGTTATAATAAATTATCGGTTCCTTAAAAATACATTTATACCAACTTTTGTGGGAAATATTATCGTATAATTAACGAGATGCAGCGTTTAGGTTTCATGGATTGATAGCATGAGTGTTCGTGAGTACCTTTGTTATAGGCATAAATAACAGTAGGCACGAAGCATTAGCTCACTTTCACGCAAACGAGAATTTCAAACCTAGCCTGTTATTTTTGACAATTGTAACGCAACACACTATCTGGACAAGTATAAATCAAAGTTTATCTGTCTAATTACCGGAGGTCATTACTAGCGAAGCCTACACCGCTGTGCAAAAGTTGTAATTCATTTCTTAATTGTTGAATTCTCTAAAATTCGAAACGGACAACATAATTTTAATAAATATATTAGAAGATTATTCAATAATTATATTTCTGATGTGGAAGTGAAATAAAGTAACTAAAATATTTCAAACAAATAATAAATGTAGTGATGATAAAAAGAAAAAAGAAAATCTTTATTTACATTATCTGATAATAAACTTATTACTCATTACTGGAGTCCCTTTTTAAGCATGACCATGCCTGTACCAGGAGACTCCGCTCTTCAATGACATGTTTTTTTTTTCAGAAATATATTGTTTCTGGTTTTTGTATCCATAATTTGATTTAATTGAGACATTTTTCTTGATTATATGTAATTAAACATTACAAAGGTGTGTGTGTGTGTATGCTATTGGTGTTTGATTCATAATCACAATCGTAATCATAGCTCTAAAAAAAGAAAAACATGGGCATGGAAATAATTTATGATTGATTATCTACGAGTATTACAATGCAAGAGGAATTCAGTATCGTTATAGTTTAGGGCCTTTATCCATTTATTTAATGTATATTTACACTCATTATAATTTTTTGAGTGTATTTGTATTTCTTTGTTTATTTTATTACAAAGATAAGCTTATTGTCTGTTGTATTGGGATCTAGCTAGAAACTGGTTTTGTTTTAGGGGCTTGCAAGACTTTTATGTCGCTATAGTATTAGATGAGCAATAAATATTTTCCGAATTGACAGTAGGTTGCTTATGATGCGCTATGAACACCCAATAGTTTAACCATACTGGCAGGCTAAACAGCTTGGGTACGCGCCATTCTGCTTCTAAAATGAATCCTAAAAACATATACAATCGTTACCTCAAAGCTCTAGATAGCATTAATCAATTAAATCCAGTATAGTGGTTGCAGTGACAGTAGGTACGTTATAATCGCAGATAGTCCGTCTGGCCGATGTGTGGAAGACGTGCAACAAGATACGGGCGGCCGCGTTCCGCGTCGGTCTCAACCTCTGGGACTGGTATCGACCGCTCGACCCTGAGGGCAACTCCTTAATATCCGGTATGTGACGACACTATACTATCCACAGTTGTCTTGTTTTGTGTTATCTTTTAATTGAACATCATACGTATATTTGTCCATCAAATAATGCAACCCAAATGTTTATACACTGGTGTATATTAATGTTAAAATTAGAGAATGTGTCCGTTTTATTGTTTGTATAGCATACACACGTTTGTTTTGTTCAGAGTCCAAATTCGTGTCGATCCTCGCGGGCCCGCTGCGGTCTGTGATCGGTCTGTCGGACGCGGAGATCTCCCAACTAGCTGACTACTTCAGGGCGCAGGACGGACGCGTCCTCTACCACCAGTTGTGCCAGATTATCCACGGTGAAGGTCGGCCGCTCTTATATATATAGACATACAATAAACTAAAGCTTCTATATATAAGACACATATACTCCATTCATTATAGCATTAGACAGAATGAAAATAAGGTTCTTCTTATGGTATACTTTGTGACAAAATATCAACAATCATGTTACTCTTAAGACTCACGGCTTATTTGCTACATATGCACTTAAATACCAGCTGCTATGCTTAACCGTTGTCTTTTAAGCTATATATTAAACAAATTTATGAGTATTTGACTGATTTAAAACATTTAATAACTATTACAATAAAAAGTGTTTATCTTAAAGAACCTATAAGAAGCAGGGTTAAATAGTTTCGGCACGATTCTCATGTCACTATAACTCTACCAAATTTAAAACGTTGCCTAATCCCTCCAAACGTTTCGGCAGTACAGCTTTTAAATTTTGTCAGATTATGATTTATTCATAATAGTCAAAAAACGTAATCTGGGATTGTCATTCATTGTGAATGCTGCTGCCTTTCTTGTTGTTTTGCCATTTTCAGTGATTGAGTAATTACTGTTTTATTATTGTTTTCTTATAGTTTTGTTTTAGTTGTTATCTTTTTGTTGTAAAGTTCTGCTAAATTGCGATTCCGGTGCAGACCCGAGTGGCCTACAACAAATACCTTTGACATTTCAGGAAGTAGTTTTCCAATGTCTTAATCAATAGTCTAATAATATCTGAATAAATGTTATAACAGTAATAATAAAAATTTCAATTTGTTTACCTTTATTTTCTGGGCCTAGATATTCTAATTATATACATTTACAATTAGAATCAATCAAAACAACAGATAGATAGTTTTATTTCCATGTTCACTCTCAGTAAAAGATGAATTTAGAAAATGATAGTCTCATCTCAACCCCGAGTAAATGTAAAATTGCCCAACTTTTTCAGACTACCTTAAGTTCAAAATTTCAACAAAACTATTATAAATATTTTTTAAATTTATCTTGTAAATAAAATGTTCTGCACTGCTGCTTCTGAGATTCTCTTTTTTCTAATGTTATAATGAATGGAGTATAGGTATTTAAAAAACAACTAAGCGAGTATGTGAAGTTTCTCAAGCACGACTACCAAGGATGTTAATGCACATTTTAGTATAGTATTAGTTCTTATTCATTTTAAAGTCGCCATATAATCGAAATATGTATATTGAATCGAAAATTTCCTATTTTTAAGTTTACTTTCTAAATACTGGTGTATCATGAAATAAACACCATCTTATAGTTTATTTTTAACTAAAGGTATAGCTGATACATCTGCAGACTAATTAAATTGTTAAACTATCTTCACGTAGAGTCTTTTGTGAGATTGGTAAAGAGGAGTGAATGCGTCAAGGCGCGGCCCGGCAATAGGTCTTTAAACACCTCGTTTGTTTCTACATAGTTCGCCCAACTTCTCTGGTTTCAAACATCACACTTGATCACAAATAATATGTCACTGTCTTTCAGGTACAACTCTCTAATCTCTTCATGACGTTCGCAACCTGCGCACGTTTATATTGGAGTAATGAAATAAAGTATTCGATTATTATTGTGTTATGACTTATTATTTATTCACTTCACACTGTATGCGCCATAGTACAGAGGCCGAATCGAAGCCTGGTCTACCTAAAATTACGCCACCCTCTAGGCTAAAATTACATTTTCTGTCCTTTGCACTAACACTAATTTCTAAATATCTATTATCCTACTAATAAGTCAATATTTTGCCGCCCGGCGCGGTATCTCCACATCTCTCATAGATTGGTATTAAATCGGACCAGGGATTAAATACCAAACTTTATAGTATTAAACTAACGTAAGGTGCATTATGGGAGTTTAAAATTATTAAAACAATAAAACAAATTACATCATTAGAGGAAAAGAAAATAGAAATCAAACATGAGTAAGTATATTAGCACATAAAACCTAAATGTCTTAAACATTTAGGTTTATGCTAAACACAATTATATAAACATTTATAAGTAGGTTATATGTTTATATAAGTATATAGCGTAAATCTAATAGATAACAATCTTCATTAAAAGTTGATGTTTACTTTTATAATTCTTGAAAGTTGATTATGAAGCTACTATGCTTCGAACTAATTGAGCCATTGTGATTAATGGATGCAGCTTGGTTTCGATTAAGCGAAGCTAAGGTCACTGGGTCGCTGTTACCTAAGAATCAATATTGGATGCTCAGAATTAAGAGCCAATACGGGAAGTTCAAACTTTATGATTCTTTGAATATCAATAACGTAATTACTGTAAACTTTTTCTCATTTAATAAAGTTTAGTTATAAAGGATAATCTTGCATGTAATCAGATGCTGGCGGACGTGATAAAACATCAGCGGACTGTCTCCTGGAGGCGTGTCCACCGCCACCGGAGCCAGCCTGTCACACCCTCGACCAGTGGCAGATGCGTCGACTCTGCTGCTTGCTGGCCACTATCGCCGCACGTGAAATTCCACTCAAGCCATATTTCCAAGACTACGAGCTGGTATAATTAAATAAATTAAAGGAATTCACATACCCCCTTTATTTTGACTTTGTAAACTTAATTAAAAAAACAGTCCTGACCCGATTCCTCTAAAACGTAAAGCTTTAATAACCTGTTGTCTTGAATTTCTTTGTAATTCTTAGGAATAATATCTAGAATTATTGTAATAAGTGTGTAATACCTATAAATGTGCTAAATACTTATTAAATTAACTACATAGACAGTCTATTTTAGTAGCGTCGATTGTACTAAAGCTTATATAAAAACTCCGTTATTGAGCGAAAATACGCTCAATTTGAAATTTATTTTTTTCTTTTATATTACATAAATATAATTGATAGTTTAACCGCCTGAACCGAGTGATCCTATAAAGGTTCTGTTTTTTCTTTGAAGTACGGAATTCCATTACAATAACATATCCACTATTACAGGTAGCCAAAAATGATGGTCGCATCACGTTCGCACACTTCGCACGGATCCTTAACTACATCGGAATACTGCTCTCACCCGAGGACTTCAATCTGCTGGTGCGCCGGTTCATCAAGGATTCCTACACTCTGGATTACGTGGAATTCCTCAAGGCCGTGGAGGCCGTCAAGAAAGAAGGCATCAGAGGACTCGGGGTGGTCTGTTATTTATTTATTTATCCGTAGGAATTTACATCACCTTCTTAACTCGAGCAACTAGTCGAGCCATTTTTAGGGTTACGCCATATCCGTCTGGCCGTCCACGGTTTAGCTTAAAAACGATTTTTCGTCTTCCCCATAGTGTGGCACATCGTCGGATAGGCCTTTCAAGAACATTGAGAGTCTGGCAAGGTTTTTCAATTTAGTGAACAGTTTGTGACTTAATGTGCTTTAAAAAACAAATTTTCGTTGGAGTCACGTGGCTCCCTCTACGAACTAAGCGATCGTTGGTAATAATTCAAACGTCATGCCAGTAGTACCTATATAAAAGGTAAGAAAGTTAAAAGGAAAACTATCACACTTCAGTTGGGTTTAGAAGTTTACAAGTCATAGTCAACCAATTGTATTTAACTCGAAAATTTCGAACAACTCCATAGAAAACAACAATTTTTGTTTTTTTTTTACTTTTTTAATGGATAATGGTACGGAACCCTACGTGCTCGAGTCCGACACGCACTTGTAAGTAGGTTAGTAGGCAACAGCTTGATTAAGCTTATGCTTTTGATGACATTCTACAAGCCACATGTAAGAGGATTAATTTTTATTATAAGCACTTTCTAATGTTACGGCATAAATCTAAATATAACTGCTTTTCCTTTTTCTTCTAAAAATTTCGGTTTTCCCGCGATCTCGCCTATATTTATAGTCTATGTCATGCACGTACGATGTCGCTTCCCGAAGGTGCAACGAATTAAAAAAGTCTGTCCAGTAAATTCGAAGCCTATTCGATGCATACAAACTAACAATAAATAAATTTTCTCATTATAATATTAGTAAGATTAGTAATGATAGAGCTTTGACTCTCCGCCCGACATTGAGCTTCTTAAGATTGTTAACCGCTTTTGTAATATTTTTTTGAAGTCAGTATTAATATTTAGAAAAAGATAGATTTTTTCTTCCACTGAGAATGCACCGAAGGTGGTCAGGGTAGGTCAGCTTCGCCCCACTGGATTTTATATAGGCCTGCTGTGGACGATAGAACTTAATTCAGAACCCCAATAAAACAGAAGAGAATAAGTTTGAGATTTATTTATTTTTTATTTCAGGAATACAACAACCCTAAGGCTGTAATAGACACCACGTTGCCGAAGCTATCCCGTCCGGAGATAGACGCTGGACTGTCGACGGCACCTCTAGGGGAGACAGACGTGTTCCACCCGGCACTGACGCCGCCAAGACCCTCGAGACAACTCATCGAGCTAATGCTGCGAGTACAGGAGTTCGTTATGCAACGACGTGTCAGGGTCTCCGAGTTTCTAAGGGTTAGAAACTAGAAGTCTTCAATGATACTAGGTCGTTTTTATCCTGTGTTAAATCAGCTTTAAAAATTATCACCACCAAGGCAGCTAATTACTACTCCACGGTTATAATCTTGGGGGTACTAAGCTTTTTTTTCTTTTTTTTTAACGCAGGGGAAATGCACCTTAAGCCTTAAACCAGGGCTCCTCTTCCACCCCGCCCTGAAAAGGGCAGGTTAGTGTGGAAGCCCTACCTGGTAAAACCCGCTGCGGTTCACCTCACGCGGAATGATGAGTCCGGTATCCAGCAAGGAGGGCACGGACTGAGGGGGGGTACTAAGCCTAACACTGCAGTAGCAGTATGTCATACCATGGAGACTTCTAGATACCTACTCATACTTCAACACCCGCCTTACACGAGCGGAGTTGTTTATTATCAAACGGCTTAAGCTCAAAAATAATGTTCTTAAATTTTCTCGAGTGTTTTTTTCCTTTATTTATTTATAGTTTAACTAATAAAGGAAGTAGTAGAGTCTAAGCTTTAGACTGCCATAATTTCAAGTGAGTTATATGAAACACTTTATTACACATATAAAATTACAAAGAATTTTATGTTTCAAGTGGATAATTCAAGCACTGTTTGGAGACAAGGGAACAAAATGTTTTTGGAGGGATGCCGAGTGAGATGTGGGGGGAACTCACAAATCCATCTGGTACCATTCAGTTCAAGTTCAAGAGTTTCAATTGCTAAATTTAGGAATTTGAGCAATTTAGTAATGTCGTCTAATATTTAATGAATCTCTCCAATCGCAGAGCGAGTGTATACTATTGAGCCCACCAATACAAGCTAAAAGTGTATCGTGTGTGTTGTAGGATTACGACCCGTTGAACTGCGGGCGTATATCACCCCAGCAGTTCCGGCGTGGTCTGGACGCGATGGGTCTAGGCGCGGTCCTCTCGCCAGAGGAGGCGGTCTGTGTTACTAAGCATTACCTAGACCCTAACGACCAGGAGCGAGTCTGTTGGAGGACCTTCGAGGATGACTGTGATCAGGGTATCGTCACAAATTTACTTTTTGGAACTAATAGCATAATTAAGTAAGGCTCTATTTGATTAAGATTCTAAAGAGAAACTCTAATAATTACCATATTAATAGGATCGCCCAGTTAATATCCCTACTGCTTCCCTTTGTATGAAATTGAATATAGGTATAGAGGCCATAACCTACCACGTGGGCAATGAACGCGATCGTCGGTTCAACCGGCGACAACTCAACGTTTCCACTGAAGCACTACGAGGAGTTCGAGATAATAATTTTTGGTCCATGTACTGATCTCGCTAAAAGCCACTCGAACTCCGGAAGATCGTAAACCGAAGGTGTTAATCACTGAGCTGTGTAATTCAACTCCGCATAGTTAGTGTTATAGCTGTTTAAAGTCGCATACTTTCTTGCTACAAGTTCAATTTTAAAATGATTTCAGTATTCACAACGAAGGAATTGGAGAAGCATCCAACTGTGGTGGCGGGCGGGGCCGCGGCGGCGGTGGCGCTGCTGCCCCCGCGCGGGTCCGCCGAGGACTCGGGGGCGGCGCTCGGCGACGCCGCGCTGGACCTCGCCAGCGCCGCGCTGCTGCGGGTCCGTGCCGCCTGCCACGAGCGGTCGCTCGACCTGAGACCTGCCTTTTCGGAACACGACGAGTGAGAAACCAAACTATGAACCGTTCTCACTAAACAAAACTCGATTCGTTCTTCATGAGTATGATTTGTTTTAGCGATCGTTGTGCTCTGTCAGGTTATACGTTTTCTCTCGATGTTTGATAGTTAATGCAATGAATTATCAAGTTAGCCGACCTCGCCTTCTCTGCGGACCGAACAGAAACAGAAAGAAGTTTGGAGCCGTTATCAGGGCAGAGAACGACTACCAAATCTCTAAACACTATCCTATTTCCCTTCCTGGCCGCTAGAACTAACTAGCTCGGGCATCTTCACGGATCTCTCTCGCAAACCCCCGGGCCGCCGCACCGACCCGGGCATGTTGACACTTTCTTATCGGGTCACGCTGGGCGAAAAAGATTTTTCTTATTCCTCCAGAGGAAGTGGAGAATTAGTAATCCGACCGAATATTAACATGCAAACAATCGAGTTGAGGGACCCTACAGACACATGATGGTGCCCGTTGACGCTATAGACACAACAACGGCCACGTGTCCCCTGCGGCGGTGCGGCGCGTGCTGGCGCGCGTGGGCGTGCTGCTGGCGGCCGCGCAGCTGCGGGCGCTGGAGCGGCGCTACAGCGACGACTGCGGCTTCAGCTACGTGCGACTGCTGGAGGAGGTCGGCCTTGCATTACCGATACCTCTATACAGATATATGCAGACACTAAAGAAGTTTAAATAAATTGATTTTTCTTACTGTCCTAATACCGAACGAACGACGGCCACAGCCTTAGGATTATTTTTTTGCCTTTGTCCGGTAGTGGACGTCTTTCGGCTGACATGGTAGTGTTGATGAATAAAATAAATATAGACTAATCCAGACGTGAGTTACATAACTCCATAACGGTACAAGTTTTTGAAGGTGGCCAAGACAAATGGTTCAACTTCCACTTCAAATCGATAACCGGTATCGATAACCGTGTTGAGAGACTCATAATATGGTAACCTTTACAAGTAATTGTTACTATGATATAGTAGAACTATTATTTTAACCCAAAAAACACATGCAAACAGTACTTAAATAAAATGTACGTTGTGACAATTGAGATGGAGGAGCGCGAGCCGGAGAGCGCGGCCGTGGCGGGCCCCGCGCAGCGCCCGCGCGGCGCCGCGCAGCGCCCGCCCGACCCCATGCAGACGGACATCGTGCAAATACTTGCCAAAATCAAGGGGAAAGTACGTCCCTACTTTATAACTACTTACACGACATAAAAAATTATCACTCACCAAGCATCTTTGTAATCCCTGTCTTTCGCTTCTTCGACGTTCACAACTCACTTCATACACTTTCATGGATTTTTACGGCTTCTGACGTCACCCTTCGACAGTACGTGATCGAACTGATCGTCCTCACGTGTTGTAGAGGCAGGTATCGATTTAAAATCTGAACAGCTTGAATTCAAATTAACGTACAAGATTACGCTATAAATATGTACGCACGGCTGCACGTGATACTACATAGGTCATAACTCTCACTGAACTTAATTGTCATAATTGTAACCCTAACCCTCCTTAATGCAAGTTAAAACATAATTATTAAATATTAGAAAGCAATCAAAATATTCAAGAAAATATTGATAACAAAAACAATTTTAAAGCTATACCAACATTGTAAAATTACAAAAATATATGTCATCATTGACATCGAGACCCTACTACCAATATTTTGCACACAGATAAGATAGAGTGGCAAAACGAGTTGCTATCATTGTGTCAACATTAGCAGACTCCTAGATCTTATAGTGATTGTTTGTGTAGATGGTCCGCGAGGGTCTGCGGCCGCGAGACTTCCTCCGTCAGTTCGACAAACAGAACGAGATGGTGATCCCGCGCGCTGACTTCTATCGAGGACTGGCTGCCTCCGGGATGTCGCTCACGCCCGTAGAGATGGACACGCTTATGGAAGTGTAAGGAGACATGCATTTATATTATACTAGAGTAGATGATCAGATACACTTTACAAACAAACATATCAAAACCAAAATCAGCCTAATCGATCCAACCGTTCCCAAGTTTTAGCGAGACGAAAGAACAGCAATTAATTATTATATATATAGAAGATCATACGTTGCTGTGAACTTATGACCTATATGAAGTAAGATTCTTTTACTTTATACAGTCTATATTTGGAATTTGTTGTTTCGATTTATCGTCATGTGTGAGTTTTTGGGGTATTAAAACTTGTGTAACTGAAATAATATAATTTATTTGACCTCTAATGCGCCCTCTATTGTATTTTGTATTCGTCGAAATGAAGGCTCTATATGTAGTAGCACGTTAAAAATTAAAGCTAAGACCTGCGATGAGAAAAACGTGAGATTGGAGTTTTCTAATTAACGCTTTCTGTAGGTATGTAATTACTTTTATAAAGTAACGCCTTGGATTTATTTTTGTTTATTTTTGGGTAGCACGTTGCATATTTTACTTAATAATCTACAATTGAAATAAATTTAATACACCTCCTCCACCTGTATTAGTGAAACTGTAAACTAGACAAATATTTATTCATACCTGAATACCTATCTGAAACACAGTTAATTTACCATTCGCAGGTCCCTTAATGTCTACCAAACCAGAGGTTCGAGCGCCTAATCTAGTCATGATTCTAGCCATAGAATACGATATTATGTCGCGATGTTATATCGACATTACGTTACTACTTTAACATCTACATCTGGAATGATCACTATAGATCGACAAGTTACTCGTTTATCCACCAAAAGTCCAACAAAAGACATATGACATGTCAAAGTGGTAACTTGAAGCGAAATATCGTCATTGCATAGCTAAGATATTGCATCCTGTGGCTAGAATCAAGGCTAGAGAGTTAGGCGTTAGACGTTTGATGAAATTAAATAAACTCGGCTACGTCTTTGGTGTTATATTATCCAGTTTCTGTGCGCCCGGGCGGCGCCGGTTCGTGGAGTACGAGAGGTTCTGCGAGACGGTGGGCGGCGCGCAGGCGCAGGGCGGGCTCGAGCGCGCGCCGCTGCTGCAGCCGGTGCCGCACGTGCCCACCCTCGACTCGCCGCTCAACTTCCTCTCCTACGAGGAAAGGCACGTCGTCTCCATGGCGCTCACCAAGCTAGCCAAGTTCCCGGATCAGCTCTCCAATATACTAGAAGTATTCAAGGTAACCTATGAGGTAGTTTTTATATGTACACTGTGAACCACCGAAAACTTGAGTGGGAAAGCGCAACTTTGCTGGATTTCTATGCTAGAGTATGGAAGCGAGAGTTAGGTAAGTCAAAGAGGGAATGCGAGTACGAGAAATACTTTTGTGAGATAATGCTCGCTGACTGCGGTTGTACCTTAAGATAAAAAACAACGTCGCCCCGAAACGTGGTACCTGTACAAAAGATAACACAGGTGTGTTCAGTCGATTCGAACATGTCGAAAGAATGAAGAAATCGTTATACAAACCGAAAGTGGAAAGTTAAAGTAGTCAGGATAAAACAAGAACGATTTCGCTAAATGAGTAATTTAAATGAGGGTATTTTCCCCGATCTGATGTAGTAAAGCCATTCCTCTTTTTAAAGCTGGTAATAAACAGGATCCTAATAATTTCAGACCCATTTCAACTCTACCGACAATAAGCAGGATTTTTGAAAAACTTATTCTAATATCCTACTTTAATTCTAACGAACTTTTGCATACTAAGCAATACGGTTTTACCAAGGGTCGACAACAGATGCGGGTGTTGCGCTAGTAAAGCATATATTTAAGCATGGGAGGGATCTCAAAACGCTCTTGGAGTTTTTTGCGATCTGTCCAAAGCCTTCAATTGTGTTGAGCATCAGACACTGTCATAGAATGAATTACTACGGTATTAAAGGTGCTGCTCAAAAGCTGATGCTGTCGAATCTTAGTTCCAGAACACAAACAGTAGATATAAACGGTGCGAAGTCGTCGGGGTCTCATGTAAAAATAGGCGTTCCCCAAGGTTCTATCTTAGGCTCATTTCTATTTTTATATTCTTATATAAATTATTTACCATTTTTTGTTACAACCTATGTGAGATTGTGTTGTTTGCAGATGACACTTCATTGATATTTAACATTGACAGAAATAAATATAATTTTGACGATGTAAACAATGCTCTCCCACGAGTGTTATCTTGGTTCACAGTTAATAATCTTCAATTGAATGCTAAAAAAACCAAATGTATAAAATTCACTTTGACTAACTGAAATTAAACTCAACAACGAACATTTAGAGTTAGTAAATTCAATAAAATTTTTGGCATAACACTAGATTCAGAACTGCAATGGAATCCGCATATTTCTATATTAGCTGGTAAACTCAGCTCGGTTGCATATGCCATACGAAAAATAAGACAAATTACCGATATCGAAACTGCCCGGACAGTGTACTTTAGTTATTTTCACAGTATCATGTCCTATGGCATTATATTGTGGGGAACGGCAGCCGATATTCAGTCTATATTTGTTTTGCAAAAAAGGGCAATAAGAGCTATCTATCAGTTGGACTCGCGAATATCTCTTAGAGAGAAATTTAAAGAAATAGGAATATTGACGGTTGCATCTCAATTTATATATAGTTGTATACTTTTTGTGCTGAACAATATTAATGTGTATAAAAACAAGCTAGTAATGCCTTCTTACAGGTTACAGAAGGTAATAGGTTCTTTCATGGGTCAAGGTATACAGTACTTTAGCAAGATCCCCAGTTATGTATTAGATTTGCCAATAAATCATTTTAAAAATTGTGTACCAAGTAAAGGATATTATACCGTTAAAGAATATCTAAATAACAAAATGGGATGGTGTTAAATATTTTAACTTTATTGTATTGAAATTTTCTAATATTGTAATGGAAAGTGACTTCATATTTTAATGAAGTCACTTTTCAATAAGACTAATCTGTGTGAAATAAAACAGGGATAAAAGCAGCCCTTGCTGAGTTTCTTGCCCGTTCTTCTCAGCACAAGGTCTACCGCCGTAGTTTTGCGAAGCGATGGCGTAGTTTTCGACTTTCACGAGTGCTCTGTAAAAACCTAAACTGAATAAACAATTTTGATTTGATTTGATGATCAATTATACGCCATCAAAAGGTGACGTCGGAAGCCATAAAAACCCGTCAGCGAATATGATAAGGGTGATGAGGGTTAGGAATCGAAAGACGTACGTACTCACCCCTCCTGTGAAAATATGGATAGATTCATCAATCGAATAGTTGTGATACGTGATAATGTTACACAGGACATGGACCGCGCCCGCTGCGGCACCATCCCGCGCGTGTCGGTGGAGCGCGCGCTCTGCCAGCGCAACCTGCTGCAGCTGGTGTCGGCGCGCGAGCGGGACCTCATATACAAGTGCTTCGGGTACCGGCGCGGCTGCGGCGACGAGGTACGCACACGCACGCACACGCGCACGCACACACACACACACAGAGAGAACGATAAACACATACGTCACCAGTAGTGTTGGATACTGCCAATAGTTTCGGGAGCATTGAAAGTTTTCAGGAAGTTTACCAATATGGGAAGTTTAAGCGATATAGTTATTTTAATGTTGATTTGACTTTCTTATTAAGAAATAATGATGACAACAAGTTTTCCTTAGTAGAATTGAGCAATGGAATCAGTGGAACTTGAAACAATTGCTGCAATATTCATACATTTATTGTAATTCTATTCTAAAATTTATTATTATTTTGTCGTTCGCTGTCATCTTGTATATGAAAGTGTTGCTTGGAGGCCAGTTATACCCTAATATAATACAGGTAACTATTTTTTTAACACCTTTGCTCGTAAAGCTGATGTAATTCCACCGATTTTAAATATGTAAAGCGGGTCATAAAAAACGCGTGTGTTACCAAAGCAAATAGTTAAGTTATAGTCCATACAAATTCCATAACAGTATTATTTGCCATTTCGCGCGCTGTTGCTATTCAAATTTCGAACTAATTGCCGCGCGGTGCCAGTCAGTAGGCAGCGCTAACGCGCTGTTAAAATGGCGGGAAAGCAACAGTGTTCATTCACAGATTGAGTTTATTTAATGTTTTTTTTTTTTCTGTTTCCTCGCAAATGTGTTAAAAAACGTCGTACGATATACGTGCGTATTGGTTATAACATGCTCGGCCCAATTACGCCCTCGCCTTCGGCTCGGGCTGAAATTCCGCCTCGCATGTTATAACCATCATTACGCACTAATATCGTTATGTACTATTACAGGCATTTTTCTAAAAAATAAAGTTAAATCAGCAAAAAAATATTCACTCCGCAAAACTTCCAATCCTGCCGGAATTTTTGGCAGTTTTCCGGAAATTTTACTCAGAGACGGAAAGTATTGCGGCAATTTTCATCTCTAGTCACCAACTACAATTTACCGTCATCAGATTGAAGCACTAATACACGTAAAATACTAGTGTTGCCATCTACACAGAAGTTCGAGTAGGTAATATTCCCTATTATCCAGACGCTAAAAGATCAGAGAATAGTAGAAATAACACTTGGAACAGTAGCGTTAGGCAATTTACGGATTATAATGCTACTGACCATATGAAAACATTTCGCGCAGGTTAATTACCGAGCGCTGTGCAACGCGTTGGACGTGCTGTACGCGACGGCGAGCGCGCAGCCGTGCTGAAGCCGCGCGCTCGAATCTGGTTTCAATCAAAAGAACCAATAAAATTAATCATTCACAACATTTAAGTTTTATTACCTCGTCGGTCCACCTCGATATACCCAATCAATATCTGTGGCTCATTTCATCGTGCATAATGAAAATGTTAAACGAGCCACAGACTCGCTCGTATTCCAGATTACATCCACCCCAATTTAAATAAGCCTTATCGGAGAAGCTCGATAACGCAACTAATAGTGCGTTTAAACAACTTTGACAGCGACTGGTAGTAAGTAGATTGGCCTATAATGTTGGGGGAGGGCGGAAGGGGTGTAAACGCAATATCAAATTTTGATCCGAAGTTGGCGATTGTCTATGGTCCGTCACTGCTTACAATTAAGAAAGAACGAGATTCACAAATCATTTCATACATGTATAAGCAAATTACTCGTTGATGCCGACCCCGATCTAAGAGGGTTAACAAAACTCGTAGATCGGGGTCGGCATCAACAAATCGTCAACTAGGCGATCAACGCATCGGTCACCAGTGGACAACTGGAAGTTAGTTGACAACTCGCTACCCACTCCCAGTGGTTATCAACTAGCTCTACCTTCGATCGCGCGCCGTATACTTACAAGTTGACAAATTCACTCTTAAGGAACATAACATAAAACTCGTTTTCGATAAAGGGATGCAGCCGCTCGGGTGCTGGTAGCTGGTAGAATTGGTAATTTGGTATACATAGACACAAGTAAAGGGCGAAGTGGCATGAAAAACAATACTTTCAAAATAGCAGAAATAGAGCATTACCTAATAAATAAATATCTAATGAATATTTATAATTTGGTTCGTTTGTTTACAAATGGTGTGCATATTTTTTTACTGTAACTAGTTATCTTAGATTATTATACCATTTTGGAATCTTGATGAGTTCAGTCAATTTTAAAAACAACTTGCCACAGTGGTGTCCCTACTTTTTTTTTTAGGGTATTAAGTGTCGGACCCTATTTATGTTATCAGAAGGTTAAATAAGAAAACACGTTCACTCTGTAACTCCGTATATTAGCGACTAGTTAAAAAGTCTTTGTTCTACAGACGCTAACAAATTGTTTATAAACATCTTACAACTAAACTGTACATGTACATGTAGGCATATGTGTCCCTACAGTACTCCCCCTCTTACAATAAAAAATAAAAGTACACATCACATATTGTAAGAAATGTAAAAGAACAGTATAATAAAGAACAATAAAAATAATATAAACAATTTTTAAATAAATGACAAGTAATTAAAGTAAATATAAAATAATATGTCATATAAAACATTTAATTTTTATCGAATACAAATTCTTACTTATTAGTAAACAAATTAAATTAATTTACATGTTTCCTATCAAAAGCTTATTACTAAACAAAATTACTATTTAATAGCATCTAAATCCTAACCAATCTAAAATTATATTTATTATACTCTACAAATAGATGTTGAATATGGAATTGAACCTATAATTTCCACAACCACTAGACCTAATATTCACTATGCTACTTATACACTACTATTCACGTATTGTATCGATTTGTTTACATTAACAAATAGTAATATTTACATTAACAAATTGTGGGAACGCGGCGATCTTGTAAGCTGAGTACAAAAATTGGTTGACAAAAGTTCTTTGTTTAAATCAGTACCCACTGTTATTATTTCTAGAGCTATATCGATGAAATTGAAATCTTGAGAACAGAACTACCTATTATTTAATTTACAAAGACTTCCGCTTGCTTCGTATTTCGTATACTGTTCTCTATGCTTCGTCCGTTCGACTAGCTACGCTATAGGTACGTATGTATTACGTCATGCTGTAAAACGTACGGGTGTATTGATAACGCGGCCACTACGCGTAGTTCTCGGCTGTAGAGCTTTACTGGAAGTGACCTCGTTATCCTATTAATATTATAAAGGCGAAAGTTTGTAAGTATGGATGTATGGATGTTTGTTACTCTTTCACGAAAAAACTACTGGACGGATTTGGATAAAACTTTACAGCAATATAGGTTATACATCAGAATAACACATAGGGTACTTTTTACTGGGAAAACTTCTCACTCCCACGGGATACCGACTTCCACGCGGACGAAGTCGCGGGCGTCCACTATTTAAACTAGAATCGTTACTCTTATTAAAATTCGAACTATAACTAAAATCTTTATCACTATTTATAAGAAATGCTGGTTTTAATCTTTCTATTGAAATAGTTTTCGTCTTATCTCCTATTTTAATATCGAAAGTTTTGCCTTTCCGACTTACAACGTCGTAAGGGCCATCATAAGGAGGTTGCAAAGATTTACGAAATACGTCATTTCTTATGAATACACTCTTACAACTATTTAATTCGCTAGGCAGAAATAACAAATGTGAATTACCATGACTTGACGGTTTAGGTCTCAAACTTTTAATGGAATCGCGAAGATTTTGTAAATATTCCGAATCCGAGCAATTTAATTTGGAATCTTCATAAAAATCACCTGGCAAACGAATTGTTTTACCACAAGTTAACTCTGCTGCACTAACGCCACTGTCACTGCGGGTTGCGGCTCGTAAGCCTAACAACACAACTGGAAGCTCGGTCACCCAGTTACTATTGCAGTTTAAACGTGCCGTAAGTGACACTTTTAGTGCTCGATGCCATCGCTCAACCATGCCGTTACTCTGCGGATGATAAGGTGTTGTTCGCATTTTAAAAATACCTAGGTACTTCATTAGCTGACTGAAAAGATCACTCTCAAATTGTCTACCCTGGTCGCTAGTAAGCTTCGAAGGGCTTCCAAATCGAGATATCCAGCCTTCAAATACTACCTTGGCTACTGTTTCAGCTGTAATATTGTGAACTGGAAAAGCTTCCGGCCATCCGGTACAACGATCTATCATTGTTACGCAGTATCTATGTCCATCTGCCGATGTAGGCAACGGGCCTACAATATCTATATGAACATGTTGGAAACGGTCTGCACGCTCAAACTCTCCTAATCCTGCTATCGTATGCCTATTAATTTTTGATCTCTGGCAACTAAAACAGGTTCTAGTCCAACTCGCTATATCCTTAAACATATTAGGCCAAAAGAAACGTTGTTTAATTAAAGTTCTGGTAGTCTTAACACCGGGGTGACTTAAATCGTGAACCGAATGAAAAGCAATTTTCCTGAATTTATCTGGTAAATATGGTCTAATTCTGTTCGATGAAATTTCGCAATAAATATATTTTTCGCAGTCTGGCAATAATATTTGTTTAAATTGTAATTTACTATCTTTTGCTTGCAACGCCTGCTGTAGGTATTCATCACTAAGTTGTTGCTCAGCTATTTCTCTAAAATCGAGTAATGTAGGACAACTGATCGTTTCTATCCGCGAAAGTGTATCTGCGACTACGTTTTGCTCACCGCTGATATGACGAATATCGGTGGTAAACTCGCTAATGTAAGATAATTGACGAATTCTTCTAGGGCTTTCTTTGTCGTTATTTAATTTTGAAAATGCAAAAACGAGAGGCTTATGGTCAGTATAAATAGTCAGTACACGGCCTTCCACTAAATTTTTAAAATATTTGATAGCCATAAATACTGCTAACAATTCCCTATCATAAGTAGAATATTTCGTTTCAGCTTGTGAAAGTTTTTTTGAAAAATACCCTAATGGTTGCCAATTGTTGTTATTTTTCTGTTGTAATACAGCACCTACACTAGTATCCGAGGCATTGGTCATCAGCGCTAAATTAGCATCTGGTAAAGGATAAGACAGTGTAGCGGCGCTTTGCAAGCTTTCCTTACACTTCTTAAATGCTTCGACAGCCTTATCAGTCCACACAATCAAAGTTTTATCGCGTTTCTTTGTATTGTGCAAATATTTATTCAATTCGAATTGATATTGAACAGCGTTTGGAATGTGTGCACGATAAAAATTTAACATACCGAGAAAACGGCGTA